TCTCAGTTACGGGAAGAACACCTTCATTGCTGGCATGGGCTTTAAAACCTGCTGTGGGGACCCACCGAGTGAGAATGGCACTGGCTCACCTCTACCCAAAGGTGGCAGACACATCTAGACAATGGCAGGTGGAAACTCACCAAGACTACAGAGGCCATGAAACACTGGACGATGCCAGGAGCTGTGTCTTTGTGTGGCGCTGTGGAGCAGGACGCTGCTCTGACAGGAAGCTTGGGCTGGATGTCACCATGTTGCCTCCAGCTTTCCCTCCTCCACCATGCAGCTGTGTTAGTTGTGTTTCATTTCTGTGGTGCGGGGGTGGAACCGGGGCCTCGCTCCTGCTGGGCAGGCACTCACCTCTGAACTGCCCGGCCGGGTGCATTAGCATGCTAGGTTTTAAATGGGGGACTGAGTCAGAGCAGGTGCTTTGTTGAAGGCCACATGTAAGGGTTGAGGGAAATTCCTGTCCTGCCTCTTGGAAGGGAAGAGTGAGAAGTTGGAGTGAGTAGAAGCTGGACAGGTGGTGGGGGTAAGCTGTGCTGTCCTCAGTTCAGAAGAGAGAGGATGCCTGTCTGGCCTGGCATCCCTTTGTGCCAGCTGCTTGTCCCTGCACAGACAGCCCACACTTGGTGCCGTCTTTTCGTTCATCCCTTGGGGCGGGGCGCTCTTTCTGGCCAGGAGCTGTGGGTGGTGTTGGGGCCACACACAGAGGCATGCTGTCTGAGGTGGTGAGAGGAAGTAAGCACTTGTAATTTTTAGAGCAGTGCCTCTCCATGAGGGCTGTTCTAAGCTTAGACCCTAGGCAAGTGGGTTCCAGTGTCTCCCCTGACATGTACTATCCCTCAGTGGCCTGGCCAGTGAGTGAGTGGGGTGGGGAGCTTTTCTCCCCCAGGTGTCTGTGGTGCTGTGCTGCCCCAGTCTGAGCTGGCGGCTGGATCCCACAGGACCTGCGTGCACCTCTGTGGAGGCTGGAGATGGCTCAGGCAGGGGTGCAGACTAGTCTTGAACACACAGCCATAGACACCATGTCCACCACCGTGAGTTCAGCTCTACTTTGATGAGCAGAAAGTGGCCCTTGGTGCATGGGAATGAATGTCGCAACCACCTGCCAAGAAAGCTGGTGGCGGAGGCCTGTGTGGGCCAGCTCTGGTGCCACACAACACTGTCTGGCAGGACCCCTCGATGCCAGATGCATTCATTCTGCACTGTCCAGTGTGGCTGCCCCCAGCAAGTGCCTGTGAGGAATTGAATGTTTAGTTTTACTTCATTTAAAATAGTGAAGGCAGTCACATGGTTAGTGGCTATAGCATTGGGGAGCACAGGCCTAGAGACATCCCAAAGCAAGATGCCAGTGTTCATTCATGATGGGGGCAGCGCTCTGGAAATCATTGTTGAAAAAATAAAATCTTCTTGACTGCAGGACTTGTCAGTACCTTAAGGGGGGTTCTGAGATTTTTTTCCCCAAACCCTTTTGTCCATTTAACTTCTGGGGTGTCTGAATGTCTCACGGAACTGGTGTTCTTTGGAGAAGATTCTGGAAAGCATTGGCATGGACGAGCAGGAGAGAGTGCACCTCCACGAAGGGTCATATCATCACTGACCAGCTGCATGTTTCCCAGTAGATGGTTATGGTGTCCCCACAAGACACTGCTAGGTGGCCTCTGGAGTGGTGAATGGTGACAGAGGAAGTGTGCACTGTCCCCTGACTGCCTTCCTCCTCCACCGAGGTCTTCCCTAGTTGTACAGAGTGGTGGATCAAATGGTTCTCCATCTGTTGGAAGCTGCAGGCTGGAAAGAGCAGCTGTGGTGCTGTGTGGGTCACTTCTACTTGCATCTGAAGGAGGGTGCCACATGGTGGGCCAGTGGCAGTGGGGATGACAGCACGTTTGGGGCCCCTTAGAAACAGTGCATGAGACTCAATGACATCACTACATTTTTTTTTTTTTTTTTTTTATTTTTATTTTTTTATTATTCATATGTGAATACAATGCTTGGGTCATTTCTCCCCCCGCCCCACCCCCTCCCTTACCACCCACTCCACCCCCTCCGTCTCCCCCCCACCCCCTCAATACCCAGCAGAAACTATTTTGCCCTTATTTCTAATTTTGTTGAAGAGAGAGTATAAGCAATAATAGGAAGGAACAAGGGTTTTTGCTGGTTGAGATAAGGATAGCTATACAGGGCATTGACTCACATTGATTTCCTGTGCGTGGGTGTTACCTTCTAGGTTAATTCTTTTGATCTAACCTTTTCTCTAGTTCCTGGTCCCTTTCCTATTGGCCTCAGTTGCTTTTAAGGTATCTGCTTTAGTTTCTCTGCGTTAAGGGCAACAAATGCTAGCTAATTTTTAGGTGTCTTACCTATCCTCACCCCTCCCTTGTGTGCTCTCGCTTCTATCATGTGCTCATAGTCCAATCCCCTTGTTGTGTTTGCCCTTGATCTAATGTCCACATATGAGGGAGAACATACGATTTTTGGTCTTTTGGCCAGGCTAACCTCACTCAGAATGATGTTCTCCAATTCCATCCATTTACCAGCGAATGATAACATTTCATTCTTCTTCATGGCTGCATAAAAGTCCATTGTGTATAGATACCACATTTTCTTAATCCATTCGTCAGTGGTGGGGCATCTTGGCTGTTTCCATAACTTGGCTATTGTGAATAGTGCCGCAATAAACATGGGTGTGCAGGTGCCTCTGGAGTAACCTGTGTCACAGTCTTTTGGGTATATCCCCAAGAGTGGTATTGCTGGATCAAATGGTAGATCATGTGTAGCTTTTTAAGTAGCCTCCAAATTTTTTTCCAGAGTGGTTGTACTAGTTTACATTCCCACCAACAGTGTAAGAGGGTTCCTTTTTCCCCGCATCCTCGCCAACACCTGTTGGTGGTGTTGCTGATGATGGCTATTCTAACAGGGGTGAGGTGGAATCTTAGTGTGGTTTTAATTTGCATTTCCTTTATTGCTAGAGATGGTGAGCATTTTTTCATGTGTTTTTTGGCCATTTGAATTTCTTCTTTTGAGAAAGTTCTGTTTAGTTCACTTGCCCATTTCTTTATTGGTTCATTAGTTTTGGGAGAATTTAGTTTTTTAAGTTCCCTATATATTCTGGTTATCAGTCCTTTGTCTGATGTGTAGCTGGCAAATATTTTCTCCCACTCTGTGGGTGTTCTCTTCAGTTTAGAGACCATTTCTTTTGATGAGCAGAAGCTTTTTAGTTTTACGAAGTCCCATTTATCTATGCTATCTCTTAGTTGCTGTGCTGCTGGGGTTTCATTGAGAAAGTTCTTACCTATACCTACTAACTCCAGAGTATTTCCTACTCTTTCCTGTATCAACTTTAGAGTTTGTGGTCTGATATTAAGATCCTTGATCCATTTTGAGTTAATGTTGGTATAGGGTGATATACATGGATCTAGTTTCAGTTTTTTGCAGACTGCTAACCAGTTTTCCCAGCAGTTTTTGTTGAAAAGGCTATTTCTCCATCGTATATTTTTAGCGCCTTTTTCAAAGACAAGTTGGTTATAGTTGTGTGGCTTCATATCTGGGTCCTCTATTCTGTTCCACTGGTCTTCATGTCTGTTTTTGTGCCAGTACCATGTTGTTTTTATTGTTATTGCTTTGTAATATAGTTTGAAGTCAGGTATCGTGATACCTCCAGCATTGTTCTTTTGACTGAGTATTGCCTTGGCTATTCGTGGCCTCTTGTGTTTCCATATAAATTTCACGGTAGATTTTTCAATCTCTTTAATGAATGTCATTGGAATTTTGATGGGAATTGCATTAAACATGTAGATTACTTTTGGGAGTATAGACATTTTTACTATGTTGATTCTACCAATCCATGGGCATGGGAGATCTCTCCACTTTCTATAGTCTTCCTCAATCTCTTTCTTCAGAAGTTTATAGTTTTCCTTGTAGAGATCTTTCACAGCTTTTGTTAGGTTTGCATCTAGGTATTTGATTTTTTTTGAGGCTGTTGTAAGTGGAATTGTTTTCATACATTCTTTTTCCGTTTGCTCATTGTTAGTGTATAGAAATGCTAATGATTTTTCTATGTTGATTTCATATCCTGCTACCTTGCTGTAGCTATTGATGATGTCTAAGAGCTTCTGAGTAGAGTTTTTTGGGTCTTTAAGGTATAGGATTATGTCGTCTGCAAATAGGGATATTTTGACAGTTTCTTTACCTATTTATCTTCCTTTTATTCCTTCTTCTTGCCTAATTGCTCTGGCTAGGAATTCCAGTACTATGTTGAATAGGAGTGAAGACAGTGGGCATCCTTGTCTGGTTCCTGATTTTAGAGGGAATGGTTTCAGTTTTAATCCGTTAAGTATAATGCTGGCTGTAGGTTTGTCATATATAGCTTTTATGATGTTGAGGTACTTTCCTTCTATTCCTAGTTTTCTTAGAGCTTTTATCATGAAATGGTGTTGGATCTTCTCAAAGGCTTTTTCGGCATCTATTGAGATGATCAAGTGGTTTTTGTCTTTGCTTCTGTTAATGTGGTTTATTACATTTATTGATTTTCATATCTTGAACCACCCCTGCATTCCTGGGATGAAGCCGACTTGGTCGTGGTGAATAATCTTTTTGATGGACATCACTACATTTTTGAGGAGAAACCTGTTTGGAGCCAGGGAGGAGGACAGTATGGTTGTGACTGCCGTGGAAACAGCAGTGCCTACTAGCACACTCTGTCCAGGGACTTGGAACTGCCACGGTGCCACCTAGAACAGCCAGTCAAAGCCTCCATCCACTCTGGCCACAGGGGCTGAGTGTGCAACCAGGCAGACACACGGAGAGGCCCTCTGAGGACTGTGCCGGGGACATGTTCAGAGTCACAGTTGGGAGGCTCACGCTTGTCTCCCATGAGTGGCCCTGGAGGTGCAGTGGCCCTGCAGGCACTCGGGCTGAGGTGGCTACAGAGAGCCAGTGTGTGTGTGCGAGTCCTGGTCGCGCTTTGCTGCTGTAATTCTGCTTTCTGTTTGCTCTTGCAGCAAGCGTTGAAAAGATAGACCTGAAGGGATTGTCGCACGCAAAACACGACAGGAGCGCTGAGTGTGCCTTTGAGGTAAGGTGCTGAGATTTCCTCTCGTCTCGGGGACATGGGAAGGAGACTTGTCCACTAACAGACACTGTTATTACCCCAAGCGAAAGCTGTGCCTTTGTGCAAAGTACTGCCAGCACCAAGCAAGTTGGCCACTGACACTGGCCAGGGAGGTATCCCCAAGGCTGGTGGTAGGGGACATTGGGGCTCTGTAGAGGCTCAGTTCTGTCTCACGTGTGATGAAGACAGTAGCTGAGTGTCTGAGTCCCGCGCTCTCAGCAAAGGGAGGACGTTGCTGGACACACCTTAGGGCTCTGGAGAGGATTTGGGGCGAAGCTGTTTGGCCATTGGACTGGGGGAGCGAGTGCTGGCATGAGCTGTGCCCCTGGCCTGCTGCGTGGCCAGTTCCTTGGTCTGTGGAGAGCGAGCTCTACACCCACTTGCATGGTGCTGGATCTGGGTCACCAAAGTTGGGTGAAATGAAAAGTCTGGAAAAGCTAGGCCCCCCCATCATGGGGTTACTCCAAGCAGAAGCTCATCTGTCTCCATGTCAGAACGTTCAGGGAGGCCACCCTTGTCCTCCAGCAGAACTCAGGTCCCGGCTCCCTCCCACACAATGCCACCCTTACTTCATTGTCCAAGATGGCAGCTGGTGTTCCTGGTAGCAGGATGCAAGATGAAGAGGAGGAGGAAGGTTACTTTGTGCCTTTCTTTTAAGGGAATGTCCTGAAAGCAGCTGCTGGGCACTTATGTTTAACTTTGTGACCACTTAGTTGCAGAGGACACTGGGAAACGGACTCTGGTGACATGTCCCCAGCTCGTCACCCACCCTGCTTGGCAGGTTAGGTTCTGCATCTGCATTACTGAGCACACACTGGTCGTGAATGCTGACCCTTTAGGCTGGGGAGCCCTCTCAGGAGTGTGTGCCAAGTTGTGGGAACCCATGTGCCACAGACCTCAGGGTTGGGAGGGCCCTGGGTTTGAGGTGGTAGCACTAGAGCCTCAGAGTGGAGGATCCTCAAGTCCCAGGTGTTGAGGCTGTGTGGGCTGGCAGGCTGCAGGAGGCCTGGATGCTCCGTGGTGGCTCTGCCTGCCTGGAACCCTGGGGTCACGTGGCTGCACCATACCTCTGTCTCATTTTGTGTTCACATCTACTTGATCCAAGTTGTGCATGGAGCCATCTTGAGGGAACTGCCTCGCTTCTGCTCAGTCTGGTTGCAGAGGACCTGGGACTCACAAGTCCTCTGTGCAGCAGAATTCTGTGGTGACATTGTCCACCAAGAGTGCCTGGGCTTGTCCAGGGAGGGGTGAGCTTTGGCCAAGCACACAAAGTGGCCCTGTCAGCCTCTCCCCACAAGAGGCTTCTGACCAGGCAGAGGAGGGGCCACCGCTCGGCCCCAGGCCTCACCAGGAGACCTGGTGTGGCTGCACTGGAGTAGAGGTTGGTACCCAAGCCAGGAACTCACAGTGTTCCGTGGCTGGCCCAGGATGATTAAATGAAGCATTTTGGGACCTCAGTTATCTGGAGCCTTCCTTTTGCTGATGTGACTGTGGGAAGTGTTTCTTAGGCTGGTCACTTTTTCAAGTCTAGCCTGTCTTTTAGTGGTGCTAACTCCATGCTCCCTGAGGAAGCTACAGCCCAAACCACATTTTGCTGGATGGGAATTTGAGACCCCCCCCAGAAGGGCATTTCATCAACACTTTAAAATTCGGTGTAGGCTGGGCACAGTGGCTAACAACTGTAATCCCAACTACCTTGAAAGGAGAGATGAGAGAATCATGGCTTAAGGCTAACCTGGGCAAAAAGGTAGTGAGATCCCATGTCAAAGAACAAGCCAGGTGTAATGGTTCATGTCTGTAATCCCAGCTACAAAGGAGGAAGAGGTAGGAGGATCATGGTCTGAGGCCAGTTCGGGGTAAAGAGCCCTATCTGAAAGCAGAAGGGGCTTGGGTGTAGTAGAGTATTTGGTTTGCAAGTGTAAGGCCCTGAGTTCAAACCCCAGTGCTTGCCACTCCATAAAAAGTCTTATTGTTGACAAACATACTGTACATCTGCACAAGCCTCCACACACCTGTTTTGGTCCTGGGGGGCAGGTTGTACCCTCTGCTCTTATAAAATCTGCTTGCAAGACACTAATGGTGGTGTGATTCGGGTACCATGGAAAGGTGGAGCACCTGCTGGTGTTCTCCAGGTCATCAGAGCCACCAGCTGTCAGAGACCATGGTTCACAGCAGGCATCTGACTGACCCCCCTCCCCCAAAAAAAAAAAAAAAAAAAACAACCACATCCTAGCGTAGTGTTTGCGTTTCAGAAGTTGGCAAGTCATAGGAAAGAAAGTGTGAGCGGAGGGAGGAGCCCCACCCCACCCGGTCCCATTGCACCCGCAGAGACCTGTGTCAAGAAGACTTTCGGCAGGGACAGGCTGGTCTTCAGAGGAGAGCACAGGAGAGCTCTGGGCAGGCTCGGGAGGTCTCCTGGTTTCAGGCAGAAGCCAGGCCTGGGAGAAGCTGGTGAGCGAGACTCCATCCAGCTCTAGGGCTCACTCTCCGACAGGTGCTAGGAAGAGCACACAGAGGTGGCCCAGGACAGGAAAAAATACGTCTAAAATAGAGAGTTTAAACCCCAGTTACACCAAATATACACACACACACACACACACGCACACGCACACGCACACACAGAGCGAGAGAACGAGCGAGCGAGCTCTGAAAACCCAGTAATGAGAAAACGCAACAAAAACAGGCAAAAGACCTGGACTGTGGATGAAGGCCGATGCACAGATGGCAGGTGGGTGTGTGCAGAAAGATGTGGAGAGTGCCATTTGTTAGGGGAGTGTGACTAAAACCTGGGCGGACCATACCACAGGGAAGGGCTGGTATGAGAGACTGGCCACAGCAGCCTGGACAGGGTGTGGAGTAATTGGAGGCCCTGCTTGGGGGAGGGAGAGGTAATTGCTCAGGCACTCTGGGAAGGGTTTCGGAGCATCTTCAGAAGGTGAAGGTGTGCTGACAGTGTGGGCCGTCAGCCTGTGCTCAGTGATCATCACAGCTTTGTTTGGGACACTGTCCCTCCCTGGGAGCATGGGTGAGCCAACACTGAGCTTCCTGCACCTGTGGATCATGCTCCAGTGAGCCAGGCAAATAGACTCCTCTGCCAAGTCTGGGTGCCACATGAGCTATTGACAGGTCAGTTGGCAGAAAAACCTAGAAAACCAGACTATAGCTCAGGATATAGGCAGGTCAGAGGCTCCCCAGGGAAAGACTGGGATCTGCAAAGGGCATAGAGGCCTCACTGTCTTGGCCAGGATGGTTTCACAGGTGCGCTATGTGTATGGTTCACTGTCACTGTAGCTCTAAATGTTTTTTGGGTTTGAGATAGGATCTCCTGCAGGCTGGCCTGCACATCACTGCCTCAGCTTCCCAAGTGCTTGGGTGACAGGCATGAGCCACCATGCCTGGTTTCATTACTCTTTGAAAAATTGTACATCACGCCTGTAATCCTAGCTACTCAGGAGGCAGAGATCAGGACCCTATCTCAAAAAAACCTCATCACAGAACAGGGCTGGTGGAGTGGTTAAGTCCAAAAAAAAAAGAATTAGCTGGGTGCTGGTGGCTCACGCCTGTCATCCTAACTACTTGGGAGGCTGAAAGCTGGAGGATTGAAGTTCTAGACCAACCTGGGCAAATAGTTTGCATCTCCATCTTCAAAATAACCAGAGCAAAATGGACTAGGAGTGTGGCTCAAGTAGTAGAGTGCCTGCTTTATAAGCGGGAAGCCCTGAGTTCAAACCTCAGTCCCACCAAAAAAAAAAAAAAAAGGAATGAACTACCTATCAGCAGAGGGCTTGCCTAGTCTGCATGAGGCCCTGGCTTTGATCACCAGCTGGTGGCTGGGGGACATCAGCTGAGGTTGTGGTTCACATAGTAGAGCACCCGTGCAAGGCCCAGAGTTCAAACCTCAGTCCCACCAAAAAACCACAATAAAATCGAGGAATCAAAGTTGTCCTGTCGTCCAGATTCTCACTCATGAAACTAAGTGGATGGCCTTTCAATAAGGTAGTAGCCTTACTCTGCAAACTGGACTGGACCGCTGAGGGAGGTGGCCAAGTGAAGTGGGCCACGCTGTCCCTCGAGGGAGTAGCCCCGTACACTGACCACCTTGCTTCTCTGCAGCTTTGCTTACGTCATTGTTTTCCAAGATTGAGAGGAAAGGAGCCCCCTGGGAAGATGGCAGGTGACTGGATCTGGATGATTGCAAGGCTGTTGGCTTGAACTCAGGACTGAGTTCCTGTTCTTTTCATGGAGTGGGGCTTGTTTTCTGCAGTGCTAATTGCCACTTAGTTACTAAGGAGGCAGAGCAGTATGCAGGAAGCAAATGGCGCCAGGCGCTGGTGGCTCACGCCTGCAATCCTAGCTACTCGGGGCAGAGATTAGGAGGGTTGCTGTCTGAAGCCAGCCCTAGGCAGATAGTTTGTGAGACCCTATCTTGAAAAAGCCCTTCGCAAAACAGGACTGGTGAGGTGGCTCAAGGTGAAGGCCCTGAGGTCAAGCCCCAGTACTGCAAAAAAAAAAAAAAAAAACCAAACATTTTGAACATAAAACCAGCTGATGACTTTGTACAGGGAATGTCTGCATTTTACCAGCTTTTCCAACCTGACTTAAGACTTTGAAAAGACCTTATACTCACTACATGTGGTGAACAACAGGGAATCACACAGAAAGTCCCCGTTTCTGAAACACCTACAGTGACTGGTATACCTGTACTGACTTAAGAAGAAACACATAGCAACACTAGTGATGAAAAACCACTCTTGAACTCCTTCTTAACACTGCCCAAACCTTACATTTGTTATATGACTGCATCTTAGCTTTAAAAGATGTGTGTGTGTGTCTGTGTATGGTATGAGGATTTGAATTCAGAGCCTTGATCTTAGGCAGGAGCTCTACCACTTGAGTCACATCCCCAACCTATTTTTGTCTTAGTTGTTTTTCAGGGAAGGTCTCATGTTTTTAACTGGGTGGCCTGAACCAATGGCCTGGACTGAGATCCTCCTATTTTATGCCTGTGTAGCTGGGATGATAGGCATGCACAACCATGCCCAGCTTCCTAGTTGAGATGGGGTCTTGCTAACTTTTTTGTTTGTTTGGCCCAGGCTGGCCTCCACTGGCAATCCCCCTGATCTCTGCCTCCTCAATAACTCGGGTTGTAGGTAGGAGCCACTGTACCCAGCCGAAAGTTTACTTTTTTATCTGAAAGTATTACTAGCTAGCCAGGTATGGTGATGCACACCTGGGAAGTGGAAGGGGGAGGATCACGAGTTCCAGGCCAGCATGGGCTCTGTAGCAAGATCCTGTTTAAAAAAATAAGCAGCCATTTCCTTCTTAACGTTTTATTCTCCTTGCAAAGGATGAATTTTAGCAGCCGCTCTTCTAGCTAAGCGTTGTTATTATCAGGCATGTTCGTGTTAAGAGCTGCTCGTCCTGCAAGGCAAGGCCTGAAGTGACAGGACGTTTGTTTTGAGGTGCACTCCGCGTGCCCGAGGGGCCTGCAGAGGAGTGTGCTGTGCTCTTAGCCCATGTGCTTTCTTACCGAAGGCTCTGAGTGACAGGAACCTAGTGTCCTACCCTGCCCGTCCCTGGCCTCCCTCACTGACCCGTCACCTCCAAGTCCTGCCTCGCTTGCCACTGTTTCTCTTCCCTCCTGTGGGGTTTTGGTTTGGTTGGCTTCATTTTGGTAGCTCAGGCTCCTCCTGCCTCTGCCTCCCAAGTGCTAGGATCTTAGACGTGTGCCACCACACCCAAAGAGTTACCCTGAGTTTCAGGGTCTCCGAAAGGCACCTGTCCACCCTGATGTGTGATGAAAAGCTCCAGCTTGGACTGGACATGGCTTTCCTTAGGAATGACACGGGGTTTGTCACCGTCTTCCTGGAGGGATTGCTGTTGAGAAGCGAATCGTGGGGCTCCTGGTGCTGGCTGTGCTCTCGGATCCAGGACTCACTTCTTCCTTCCCCATGGCAGACTCAGGCCCCATGTGCAAACTGATTTCAAGACCTTTGACCTTTAGCTGTTGGTTGGGTTTTGTCTGAGGTTTCTGTTCTCTTGTTTGGAATGCCTGCCATCTGCAAGGTGGTCCTCCACGTGGGTCCCATGGTTGGATGACTGCCTGCAGGTGGGTGGAAGATTGTCTCAGGGCAGAGGATTAATTCCTGGCTGTTGCTCTCCTGGCACTGGGTTCCCGGCTGAAGTGCTTCCCTTGGCTCACTGGGGTATAAATGCAGTGCTTAGTCCTTTTAACAAGACAGGCTGTGCCTCCTCCAGGCTGCTTTTGTTCCTTTAGGTAGCTTTGGTTTCCTCTGGGGTTGGTGATAGCCACAGGTCCTGGGCTGCCTACTCCCTAGGGCTGTTGGCCCGCTGCTGGCTGGTGCACGTGAGGCCCGTGCCACTCGGGCTCTGAAGGGAGGTGCTGGGTACAAAGATGCAGGTGAGAGCCAAGTGCAAGTGAAGATCCCGAAGAGTTGGGTGTCCTGAGTGTGTGTGTAGGCTGTGCAGTTAAGGTGTTGGCAGCACTCCCGATTGATTGAGCAGCTCTGTGAGGAAGTGACAAGAGACACTTGCTAGTGCCCTGGGTGGAAGTAATGGTCGCTGCAGTTGATGCCACCTTGTACTGGGTGGACACGAATTTCCAGATCACATGGAGGCTGTCCACGCCCTCCTGCAACCGTCCCTCGCCAGCGCTGCGGGGTGACTGATGGTGAGGGCCAGGGCAGTCGGCCCAGGCTGGGCAGTGTGAAAGTGACAGCACAGCCTGCAAGAGTAAGGCTGCCATGTCCCTACGTGTTGGGCTTGTAGTTCCCAGGCCTCCTGCTCTGTCTGCTGCAGGACCTGAGGACAGCCATCATAGCACTTTTAGTTGTTGGAGTCCATGTCTGTGCTTTGACATGTGAGGGTGGATGTGGAAGAGACTCAGCTGGAAACAGGTGTGGGAGCTGGGAGGAGGTTTCCAGACAAAACTGACTGAAGAATGCCAGCAGTCAGCAGTGCTCTGGGGCTAAGCTTCCACCTTCACTTGGAGGTACCACTGGGCACACATTGGGTCTAGCTCACAGCCCAGCTTCCTTCAGACAGCAAAGCTGCCAGGCGCCATCACTCGGGTGGGTGGGCTGCGGGGAGCTCTGCCCCTTGCGGCAGGTTGTGTAGAGCGCAGTCACCCTGCCCTGAGGTCATGGAAGAAGCAGGCCAGCAGGCCCTTCCTTCTACACACTGGACCTTGGCGAGAGAGTGATGAGACAGACCACTGGTGACTGTCCAGCAGTGTGACAGCTGCTGAAATAGGCTTGTGAATCTCACGTGAGCAGGGGCTCTGTGGGTTCTGACATCTCAGGCTACTCTTCGGGGGCATTTGGTCATTTTATTTCCTGCCTTGAGGCCCTCCAACGGCTTTGGGATTTTAGACAAAGTTTGTACCTCATGTTTCTCCCAATCGGCCACCTCCCTGTCCTGTTACGAGGCCCGTCCTTGTTCTTCCAAGTTGGTGTAGGCTGCTCTCCATGCAGAAGGTCTCTGTGATGTGCAGAAGTGGCCCCTGTGACGCTCAGGCTGCACCAGCATCTTCTGGGCAAGCACTGTGTTCTTAGGAGAAGCTGGAAGAGCAGAGCCAGCACTCAGGAACTTTACCAAGTCAGGAGACCATGGCCACAGTGCCACAGGCTGAAGACTCATGCTCACCACTGCTCACTGGCCCCGACTCATCTCCCTGAACTCTACAGCCTGACCTGGTCCCCTTCCCTACCATCCTGCAATGGCCTCAGAGCCGAGCCCAGAAGCGCTTGCCCGTGTACCTACTACCTTCAGCGCACAGACACTCGCCTCTGTGAAGGCCTCTCTGGGAGCTTCTGTGTCCAGCGTCACAGACAGCCCCAAAGGGCAGGTGCCTTGAGGAAGTGTGTGTGTGTGTGTGTGTGTGTGTGTGTGTCGGGATGTGGGCAGTTTTCTAGGACTCAGAAGTGAGCCAGACCCCATGCACAAGTGACTTGGTGGCATTTGACCTACTGCATAAGATGGGTGGTGCTCAAATGGACCTGAGTGACTCCTGCTCTCCCTAGCACATCGGGGGCGCGGAGGGTATGTCACTCTCCAGGTGCTACTAAGCCAGTGCCAGCAATAGCCCGGCATGTGCTGTGACCTAAGTATGTGGTGTCTGTTTTTAAGGTTTGTTTGTTTATTTGTTTTTTAAGGTCTTGTGGTCTGATTCTTCAATAACATCAGTAACCAAACCTTCCTCAGAAGTGACTGAATTTATTTCAAAGGTAAGGTGATGGAGGCTCTCCTCACGGTCCCCAGCGGCTGCTCATACTGCCCAGTCCTGCAGCCAACTCTGCCGGCTGCAGAGACACTGGGCTCTGCTTCCCAGACGCATTGGGCAGTGAGCTGGGCCTGGGCCTCCATCAGCACTGAGACAGGAGGTGGGAAGCCTCCACGCACAGCATCTTGGCGGTAGCCACGGGCGAGGCTCCCCTCGGGGGCTGGACTGGCAGGGCCACTCTTCCTGCTGACGTGTATTTACATACTGGACCCTCCTTTCGCGTTTAATTGGTTCAACGAGTAACGTTTGTGTTCAAATGTCTCACTAAAGAAGCACCTCTTTGCCTCCGTGTGCATACATGGATTCAGACATGTGTAAAGCGCACTGGTCCAGGTCGCAGCAGTGATCTCTGCCTCAGCCAAAGGCATGCATCTAAACCCTCACCTTTGGTAAGAGGCCGTCCACTGAAGGCGTCTCCAAAGTGGTCTTGCATTTCATTGTAAAATCAAGGCACAGCTGGGCATGCTGGTGCAATCCCAGCACTTGGCTTGCAGGTTTGAGGCCAGCCTGGGCTGCAAAGCAAGGCCCTGACTCAAAAAATAAAAAAATAAGGCACCCCAGTGTAGGAGACTGGCTTCCCAGCCTGGATGGGGGTGGCCTTCCATGCCTGGGGATCACCAGGGCTGTGCCCAGCTCCTCGTGGTGTGACCAGAATTTCTCTGGACTCATTTAGGCCTGTAGAACCTTGACCCCCGCAGTCTGGTCTGGGTGTTTACATCAGACGGATAGCATTTACCTTCCTCGGCTCAGACTCACTGACTTCTTTGCGTCTTTGGTTCACTGTCCCCATCAGTTCTGGATAGTCCTGCATTTCTCCTCGGGTCTGTCTTCAGCCCCAGGGCTCCCGGTGTTCCCTCTGACCACCTCACTCTTCTGCTCATGTTGCCCTGCGTGACGTGTGCTGACGTCCCCATCCCTCTGCTGTGGCTGTGCTGCCTCCAGCTTCCCCATTCCCCACTGCGGTGCCGTCTCTATGGCTGGCAGAGGTTGCCCTCCTTCCCACTGCCCACCTTCCTGCTGGGTCCTGTGCAATGCTGACTGTGGCGGTTTCATTTTATTATTTATTGATTTTATTTTGGATTTGTTTTGCTTTGTGTTTTTGAGACCGGTCTTACTGTGTAGCCCAAGCTGGCCTCAAACTCATGATCCTCTCACCTAAGCCCTCCATGTGCTGGAATTCCAGGCATGCTGCACTACACCCAGCCACAGTGCCTGGTTGAAGTCCCTGTCTGATAGCTCGACCATCTGGATTCTTCTGAATTTGGATGTGATGATTTTACCCTGAGGATAGTCTGCCCCTCTATTTTGTGTGTGTTTTGTGGATTTTGGTTGAATGTTAGACATCATGTTGGAATACAACAGAGCCTGAGGAGCAGCATTTCTGCCTGCAGTAGAAACATTTGTCTCCTGCTAGGCCATCAGTGGGGTCCTCCAGTCAGTCTCGGTAGACATGGCCAGCTCAGGGATGCATCGTTGCCATGGTTATCCTCAGGCAACCCTAGCAGTGGGCTGCTGCTGCCTGCACCAAGCTGCCTGAGGTTGCTGGAGTGCCCTCTGTGGCCCTGTTCACACCTAGCTCCTGGTGTCCTGGAAAGCCTGTGGTACTCTTGACCCCTAGTGTAGGCCACTATTGCCTTATTACCTGGCACTGGACTTGAAGTGGGTGAGGGGTTCTAGATGCAGGGCCTTTGTGCCTAGGTGCTGAGGCTGGGGCTTTTTTGGTGCTTGGGTCCCTTCTCTGAAGCAGCTGATCATAGCTGTGTGCTGGGGCAGGGTCCTGGCACACAAGGGCTTGTGCCCCTCCCTCATGGCCAGAGGGTGTTAGCTTTCACCCTTCTGCCAGAGCACTGACTCTTCCTAGTGCCTGGTGGCTGAGGCAGGGAGGTATTGCTCTTGCCTGGAAACTGGGCATCTTTGCTTAGCCACTAGGCTAGCAGCAGTTCCTGTCCCCCTTCCCCCATGGCTACGGGGCTTTTGCCTTGGATTGACAGAGGAGCCTGGGGAAGTGCATCAGAGTTCATGCCTATGCCTCAGGACCACCTGTGCCCCTGAGGGGCTCTCTGCCTCCCTGGAAGAGAGCTCAGGGATGGAAGTGCCTTCCTGAGCCTGAGAACCTGCTGTCTGCCCGCTGATACGGTGGCTGCCTCTTCCTCATGCTCTGCCATGGGGCCTGGCCATTCTCGGAGGGTGTGAATTCTGTTCAGGAGCTAGCCTTGCTGCTCAGCCTCTGCTGGGCTGGAGGGAGTCAGGGCAGAGCCGCTTCCCAAGCTTCATCTTCAGGTGGTGGCTCTTCTTCTGTGCCTTTTGCATTTTGAGTGTAGCTAGAACCTCAAAACATCTGGTGAGGTATCAGCTGTCCACCGCCACTGTCACCATCTGGTGCCTGCCTGAGCCTTTGCTGGGCGAGGAGCCCTGCTGGTGTCCAGGGTCTGACAGACCCATCCTCGCCTTCTCTTTCAGTTATCTCAGCTGTGCCCCGAAGACAATGTGGACAAGCTCATCCCTTGCTTGGCTGGCCCAGACTCCTTCTATGTGGAGCGAAACCACGTGGATCTGGAAGCAGGCCTGAGGTGAGGCTGCTCAGCAGACCTGGTTCTCCCAGGCCTGGTCTCCTAGGGCTTCAAGCCCTAGAACTTTCCTAAGTCGTAGGCATTGGAGGGATCCGAATCACCTTGGGAGAGCTGAGGGGCTGAGTGAAGGGAGTGAAGCTTGCACCGCCTGCCCTGTGCCTTCGATGCTCTTGTGAGGTGATGCTGGTCTGTGTGGTGCTGGAGAGCTGGCAGTTGAAGTCCTTTGGGATAAACACAGGGCCTGATGGACTCTCGGCCCTTGTGGTGTGTCCAGCACAGACGGTGCACACACACTGTGTACGCTGGTCTGTAAGGCTAAAGGAGCCACAGTGCTGTTGCCTGGGCTTGGGGCCAAAGACCCCCTGCGCCGAGGCTCTAGGTGTGACAGAAGAGAGGCAGGTGGGTGCCGACCACACAAGTCAAGTTGAAACAGGAAGGCCACTGGGCCATGACACTGATTTGCTTTTTCTCTAATTCCTGTATTTCCTTAACAAAGCTTAGAAATTCTCTCCACTTAGTCTATGTAGTGTCATTTGAATGCTCATAAAAACCACCTTGCTTAATTTTAGATACCTGGCTTCGTTGCCTTCTCACATACTAAAACACGACCATGTCAAGAAGTTCTTCAGCACTTCATCTCCCACCCCGCAGCTTCAGAGTCCAAGTAAGTTTTCGAAATGATGAAATTTTAAAAAATTGTTAGCTGGGTGCCATGACTCACGCCTATAATCCTAGAACTTGGGAGGCTGAGGTCAGGAGGATCAACGTTTGAGGCCAGCCCCAGCAAATAGTTCTTGAGACCCCATCTCCAAAGTAACCAGAGCAAAATGGACTGGAGGTGTGGCTCAAGTAATAGAGTGCCTGCTCTGCAAGTGCAAAGGCCCAGAGCTCAAACTCCAGTCCCACCAAAAGAAAAAAAAAATTGTTACTGCCTAGAAATTCTTACGATATTTCCTTTCTGATTCACAGATCCTGGCAACCCCTCCCTTCCTAAAGTAGGCGCCATGATGGGTGTGTCTGGAAGGTGAGGCGTCCCTCTGCAGCCAGCACGGGTCACAGAAGCTTGTTCACAGCATTTGCTCAATTGTGTGTGAACAGCTACTTTTAGAGTGAAGTCGTTCTTGGATCAGGTGAAGACAGGAATTGGGGAGAGATAATCCAATTAATTTGCTCCCCAAATTTTGGATTTCCTCAAAGTGCTGAATCATCAGTTTTCACACAGGCTTGAGCAGCATTGTCTTGTCATTAAGAAGTGACAAGCTAGGCAGCTCAGCCATATGTCTGGTGTTATTGAGGGCACACAGCTGCACCCTATAGGAACTCAGCTGGGGGCGGGTAGTGGAGGGGCTGGAGGCCAGCTGTCTGGGAGCATGCCTAGCCTGCAGAACACCTGTGCTGGGTCCTTGGCTGAGCCGGCAGTCTTGGAAAGCTGTTTCTGTGCCCTGCAGACCCGTGTGTGGAGTGGCTGGTATCCCATCCTCCCAGAGCAGCACCCAGCACCACCTCCAGCACTCGGCCAGTGTGGCCGCCTTGCCTCACTGCTCCCATGCCGGGGGTGCAGGCTCACCACTAGCCTACCGGACCCAGGGGGATGCTTCGCCGGCCATCCTGATGGCCCCCAGTCTGCAGGCCCCTCAGCCCCAGGAGCAAAATGGGATCTTGGACTGGCTTCGGAAGCTGCGTTTGCACAAGTATTACCCTGTCTTTAAACAGCTCACCATGGAGAAGGTACGATGGAATGTGCCTTGGTGTCTCCAGCAGCCTGTCTGCTGGCCTCGTTCCTAGAGGGGTCAGGTGGGGCTTTGGCTTTTAAGACGTGTGATATGTCAGAGCTCAGGTGGAGCTCACACAGCCTGGTGTTCACAAGGACTCTGAATTTGACCTTGAGGGCAGCCTATAGCTTAACAGAAGCGGGATTTGTCGTGAGCAATCAGGCAGCTTTTCTAGGTGGTGTCAGGTCTTGACAGTCACTGGGGTACACACAAAAGGAGGATCCAGTACTCTCCAATGTACCCTGGTGAGCAGAGTGTGTGATGCGCTCCTGTCCAGATGTCCTCCTGCGTAGCTCGTGCTTCAGTGTGACCAGTTCACCTAATGACCTGGCTGCAGGGAAGGGCCAAACCCAGAGGAACAGGTGTTAAAATTCTGATGTCACTAAAAGTCTAGATGTCACTGATTAAACTAAATCTTGAACCCTGAACTCCCCCTCTAGACAAGACTGCTTGGTGGCTGTTATCTACATAAAAACTTCATGTCCAAAACCACCATCGAACCTAGAAATCAAGGCTTTACAAACTAACAAAGAGCAAATCTTAGTGTGTTTATGACACCCTCTGCTTACGGTCTATGTCTTCATGGAGGTTTACTGGTCTCGGTCACAGCCAGTTTCAGTTTTCTGATGGGTGGCTGAGCTCTGTGTCCGAGTCACAGGGCAGTCTGAGAACCCGTGGGCACAGGGTGTAGGTGCTCGCCTGGGTCGGCAGTTTAGTTGCCCACTCCGGGTGGATGATGTCTGCTTTCCTGGACTGTTGCTTCTGACCAAGCTGCTGTCCCTGCTAAAGCGAAGGTGATTTTGTGGGGAAAGAACTGCCTTGATGGCTTGCTGCAGAGCAGGGGGACAGGGACATAGCTGTCAGTTGCCTCTCTGTAGCAGTGGAGACCATGACTTTCTAGTCGCTTGCCCACATAGCACGTCCTTGCTTGCCGGTGACTGACCACACGGCACCTGCCCCCGAGGAGACAGGCCACAGCACGCTGGCTGGAGTGAGCGCAGAGTAGTGGAACTGTTGACAAGTCATTAGCGAGGAAAGGAAAGCGTGCTATGTTCCCTGGTCTTTCTTGACTAGCAGGTTTGTTCTGTTGAGCTATCCAGAGCTAGAAAAGGTATGTTATATTCAACTGGAAGGCCTTTGTCTCCGGAGCACTGCTTGTAATGTTGTAACCTGTTTCTCCCTTGCAAGTTTTTGAGCCTTACTGAAGAAGATCTGAATAAGTTTGAGTCCCTTACCATGGGAGCAAAGAAGAAACTCAAGACTCAGCTGGAGCTGGAAAAGTAAGTTTGAAACTGTTGGCAAAATATGAATTCATGCGGGGTGTGGTGGCACACGCCTGTAATTCTAGCACTCAGGAGACCGAGGTAGGCAGATCATAAATTTGAGACCAGCTGGGAGATGGATTTAAACAAGTTAATGCTTATTTGTTCCCATGCTTTATTTCACAGGGAGAAGTCAGAGAGACGGTGCCTGAACTCAGCCCCTTCCTTGGTCACCAGCAGTGGAGTGGCCCGAGTCCCCCCCACCAGCCACGTGGGGCCTGTTCAGCCTGGGCGCGGCAGCCATGCGGCCGGTGCGTACGGGCTGCCACTTGCACACATGGCCTGGGCACCATGGGCCATCTCTGTATGAGAGCGGGACCACCAGTTGCACTTGTCCTTTTCCATGTTTGAATCTTTGTGCTTATTGTTCTTGGCTGTGACTTTTACAGTTTAGCCCAGGGGAGTAGTCAGGACAGATAGACTCGGAGAAAAAGGGCTCTGAGAGAGCTCCACTCCTGGCCAGTGTGCCAGGTCCCTTGGCTCCTGGCCTTCCTGCTCCAGGCCTTGAGGTGTCAGTGACTTGGGTTTTCAGCTGCGCTTCTCTTCATCCTCCCTCTCCCTCACTTTTGATGGCTGTGTGTTGTCTCACAGAATAGGTGTTTCTTACCAAATAGAAACAGCAGAGTGATGGCAAAGCAAGAAGAAACAAATGCCAGTGAGGGCTGTTTAACCAGAAAGATGTGTGTGATGGCACCTTCACAGTGCTGTTCACAACTGGAGATGCCCTGCTCTTGGGGCATCCGAGCCTAGTCACTGTGCAGTGGTTGCCTGGGTCAGGCGCTGTCTCTGCTTCCCTGGGCCGTGGGCAGTTGGCATGGTTGCAAAGACTTGTAGCCCAGGCTGGTGGTGGAAGGGATCCCTGGCTCCTCAGGGTACCCAAGAGGGGAGCACCAGCAATGGTGGCTGAGATCTCATGGGCACTGCTGATGCCTTCCTGTCAGCTCTGGCCAGAAGCCACCCAGATGCTGACCTGTGTCTCCCTCTCCGCAGAGCTGCGGGTGGAGGTGGAGCCGCCCCCTCGCCAGATGCCCCGGGAAGGCAGCTCCTCAGAGTACTCCAGCTCCTCCTCCAGCCCCATGGGTGCACAGGCGCGCGAGGAGAGCTCCGACAGCGCGGAGGAGAACGACAGACGTAAGGCACTGGGCCCGCGGTGCTGCTCCCCGGCCGGGCCTGGCACGGCATGCGCGGTGCTGACGCTCTTTTTTTCTGCCTACAGGTGTGGATGTGCACACAGAGGGCTCCGACAAGGAGAAACCTGTGGTGCTACTGAGTCACTTCTCTTCGAGCTCCGCCAGACCCACGGCCCAGGTTCTGCCTGTGCAGAATGAGGCCGGCTCCAGCCCAGTGGGTCACCACCCCCTGCCCCCCCAACTGATGCCCACAGCCTCCCACCTGGCACCCGTTCGGATGCTCAGCTCCGTGCACAAGCCGGACAGAGGTGGCACGGATGTGAAACTCCTCTCATCTTCTGTGCACTCGCTTCTGTCCCTGGAAGAAAGGAACAAGGGGCCTGGCCCCAGGAGCAGCACTAAAGTGGACAAGAGCTTCGGTGGGGCTGTGCTGGACACGCTGCCCTCGGCAGCACCTCACCCACCTGTGCAGGTCCTCTCGGGACTCACGGAGAACAGCTCTGTGTCGCCCACAGTCTCCTTTGGTCCCCGGGCCAAAGTTGTGCATGCTACCACGCTGGACAGGGTGCTGAAGACAGCACAGCAGCCGACTCTGGCAGTGGAGACCAGCTCGGCCGCCACAGGGACACCGAGCACTGTTCTGCACGTGGCCCGGCCCCCCATCAAGCTGCTGCTGTCATCCTCCGTCCCTGCTGACACGGCGGTCTCTGGGCAGACCTGCCCCAGCAGCGCGCAGATCAGCGTGGCTCCGGCGATGATCAGCCCCCGGGCGGCTCTCTACACCAACACCAAAGTTGCCTTCTCCGCAGTGAGCAGCGTGCCCGTGGGCCCCCTGCAGGGCAGCTTCTGCGCCAGCAGCAACACTGCCTCCCCCAGCAGCCATCCGTCCACATCCTTTGCAAGCATGGCCACGCTGCCCAGCTGCCCGGCCCCCAGTAGCAGCCCCGCACTCTCCTCTGTCCCCGAAAGCAGTTTTTACAGTGGTGGCGGCGGTGGCTCCACAGGAAACCTTCCTGCCTCAAGTCAAAGCCACCACCACCACCACCACCATCAGCAGCCCCCGGCGCCCCCACAGCCCGCGCCGCCTCCGCCCGGCTGCATCGTGTGCGCTTCCTGTGGGTGCAGCGGCAGCTGTGGCTCCAGTGGCCTGACTGTCAGCTACGCCAACTACTTCCAGCACCCCTTCTCCGGGCCGTCCATGTTTACCTTCCCCTTCCTTCCCTTTAGCCCCATGTGCAGCAACGGCTATGTCAGCACACAGCAGTATGGCGGCAGCTCCACCTTCCCTGTCGTGCATGCCCCCTATGGTGGCAGCGTGACTCCAGACCCCGTCCTGGGCGGGCAGTCCACATTTGCAGTGCCACCAATGCAGAATTTCATGGCTGGGACAGCAGGGGTGTACCAAACCCAAGGTGTGGTGAGCAGTAGCAACGGGTCCAGCCACAAAAAGAGTGGGAATCTGTCTTGTTACAACTGTGGGGCCACTGGTCACCGTGCTCAGGACTGCAAGCAGCCATCCATGGACTTCAACCGGCAAGGTAAACACCCGCCCAACCCAGCTCACTGCCTGCCCCCACGGCACTGGGTCCACACGTGCCTGGTTTCAGGAAATTAGTAGTAAACTTCCTTCTTTTTAAAGCCAAAAGTAATTTTTTGAATGCTCTTTGAAAATCTTAATGGTAAGCTAAGAAGTCCCCAGAAGGGTGACTGCTGGTTCTCAGAAATGACTTGATACTCCTCATTCTAGAAGGCGGCGAGCTGGCCGTGGATGGGCTTCATGGGCTCTGAGACTTGCCATGTGTTGCAGTGGCCAGTGACATTGGTTACTGCCACCCCTGGCAGCCATGTGACAGCTCAGGATGGGGCAGTGACTTCAGATCCTGCCGAGCCCACCCGTCAGTCGCCGTGGCTGACCAGTACTGAGTTCCCTGCCCTTCCTCGTCCCTCCTCGCCTGCCGCGCCTATGCCAGGTCTAGTCTGTGTTTTGGGAAACTGGTGCCACCCGGAGAGGCCACCTTCTTTCAAGGGTGTAAACAGACCTGCCGTCTGTTAGAGCCGATGCCTGTGACTCAAGAAGTCCAGACGGGTTTGGGAAGCTGTGGGCTTCTTCAGGGCCACAGCTTCCTAGAGTTGGGCTGCATCTCCCAAGGCCCGTGGTACTGGCCAAGCCTCATCTGCCCTCATTCAGGTGACAGGTGCAGAGGAAGAACCTCTGAGCATGAAGACTCTGCATGAGCAGTGTCCTCTGTAGCCACTTCAGCCCTGGGCGGGTTGTGTGAGCCTGTGAACAGCGTCCAGTGTCGTGGGACAGGGCGGTCAGGATGGGAGGTCCAGATTGCAGCTGAGTCCTGACTGGCGACTCTGGAAGTGACAGGGCCGGTCAGTGGTTTGAGTTATTTCTGTGGTGATTCAAACTTGACCTCTTTCTTTCCCTCTCTCTAGGTACTTTTAGGTTGAAATATGCCCCTCCAGCAGAAAGTCTGGACTCCACAGACTGATATTTTTCTCTGGCACAGAGCATTATTAAGCCATGGAGACATGGAAAATTAAAACAGCTGAGAAGTCCGGTTGCTGTTGCGCTTAATGTTTTAATCCAAAGGTGCTTTACTTCCTATACTGGGTAGAAAATCTAGCGTACAAGTGCATCAAACTCAATTTTATTGCCAAAATCCTAGACTGGAGCGCGCTGTCAGGACCTGCTTGGGGCCTCTCCACGGCTGGTGGCCTGGCCGCTGACACCTAGGTCGCAGTGTGGAGGCCTCCGCCTCCTGAAGAGCGTCACCTCGCTGGTCCTTATAGGCTCACACATAATTCCAGGCAGCTACGTGCGATCTGAATGGAGACCGATGGTCGGAGGTCCCAGGCAGATTTCTGCAGCCCCGGGCTAGGGAGATGCCAGCTGTGCTGTGTTTTGTTTGTTATTCCTCACGTGACTTGGCCCTCATCTCTGGGACTTTTAAGGCTTGCACTACAGAAGAAGGTACCCGGTGTCCATCTGCAGAGTGGGGGTCGGGCTCCTCGGAGAGCAGCTGAGGCTCCAGAGGCGGCGCCAGCAGCTGCAACTGTGTGTCCTTCCCTCCTTCAGACACTTGTAGCAGTTCCAGGTTTTTAATTTTTTTCCTGCAAATAAATTTAAACTCCATTAATAAATAGGAATAGTTCACTCAACAACTTCACTTCCAGGGTCCAAGTCCCAGGGAATCCAGTCACTAAGACTTGACCGTTCCTCTTGCCCTCCGGTGGCTTTGAGCCTGCTCTGCCCACGTGCAGGACACGGACCGACTCGGCTCCGTGAGTTGGCTATGACTGATGTGACTCGTCCTTAGGGAAGCTGGCAAGTTGTTGTGTCCCACACGGGCTCCCCAAGGACCCCAGACCTGGCCGGGGCTGACTGCCGACGGATCCACACTTGAGACGACATTTCAACGAGAATACAGCCCTGCAGTTCATGAGCGAAACATTGCAACTCTCTCCTGTCAGCGTTTTGTGGCGCCTGTGTATCGATCGCTAGTTCCGTTTAAACGTGCCTGGAGAGCGTCAGGAGAAAGCGGCAGCTCGGAGGAGGCGCTCCGCAGATGTGGCCCGGGCAGGGCCAGGCCTCGGTGGAAATCAGCCTTGGCTGGGGCGCTCTGCATTTCACCCACTGGATCAAAAGCATTTTGGTGAGAAACTTAGGGACTTCAGTCTTCAAGGTTAAAGGGAATTTTCTGCTCAAATAATAACATTATCTAAAATACTAAAGCCTTCAATGTTCAAATACTGTTTGGTAAGGTCTTGCCAGGGATTTTCCTTTGGAATATTTATGAAGAAAAAAATCACAACATTGAGACCATTCTTAAAACAGACAATCAGCCTTGTGCAAAATTGGTGTAAATCAGAAGAATACCCTAGAACCGGAGGCGTTGTGTACACGGCTTCAGACTTTGTGAGCAATTTCCTGACGTGCGGAAACTCAAGCGGACAGTTGTCACTTTTTATGAGAGGCTTCGGGAGCTCGGTAGTTTTGGGGTAGTTTCATTTCTATGCAATGCAGGCTCGGCAGGCCCGTGTGTTCTTCTCTTTGACGGCCCAGTGTTTCGCAGCTCTGAAGTGACGGCGATACGCACAGCTGTTAGGGTGTCACGCTGACCTCTTAGTTTTAGACACTACAAGACGTCAGATGACAGAACTGACACAACCTTGCCTTAAAGAGCACCAGACTGGAATTGGTCACACGATGCTAATAAGGAAGACTGGAGTGTTCACTGATGTTTACGATTTTAATATTTCCGAGGCCCTTACAGTGGCCCGGATATGTGCTGAAAGCCAAACTTTTAAATTTTTTGGTTTTTTTAAACAAAGAAATATTTTAAATAAATCCTATTTCAACACAGTGAAATTGTTGGAAACTGTCTCATAGCAAAAGAAAAAAATCATACTTAACGTTTTTGTTTTCGTGGTCAGTATAGGGAAATGAAGGTGTCTTTTGTTACCCTTATAACTTTTGATAAATATTAGAGGTTAACCATAAACACAAGGAAAGTTTAAAACAGAAACTTCATTCGAAGTATGCCATTCAAGAGTTGAGGTGAATATGTCCTGACACTGTTACGGCTGTGTTCCAGTCACCGGGAAGTAAGTGCTTATGCCGTGTGACATCTCTGATGAGGCTGTCAGGAACTGAGACTTAAATGTGGGTATGCCACCGGTCCACGCGGTCTCTGAGTGAATCCCACACTTGGACTTGAGGATATTTGCCAGCAGTATTATCTCTGATGAAAAGGTCTCTTCAAAAGCAACCAAAGTCAGCAAGCCTGGAGAGCACTTTGAACTTCAGCCGACTCCTGTGGTCACCACCACCAAGCAGGCCGGCCGTTCTGGCCATTTTCCTGAGACTGCTGCAGGTGCACAGTGCTGTGGCAACCAGGCGGGGCGGCCCTGGCCAGGGCTTTGCTCCGTGGAGTCGGCCGTGCGTTCAAGTTTCTAACCCTGTGTTTTTATCTCCAGGAATGGGGACGGTGGAATGTACAGATCAAAGTAGAACACAATGTTGGGATAAAACAACTATTTTACCTTTGTTTGTTTTTTAAGCAAAATACTCATTTTCTACCTTATTTTCTAATTTTTGTTTCACGGTAATACTGAAAATTGGAAAGTGTTTAACATAAAGCTCCTAGTTGCTGCTGAAGAGGAGACGGGAGCTAGCACTCACAATGACAATAAAGACTCGTTATTTTCTTGAATGCACATTACGATTGGTTGTTAAAAACCAGCATCTCCCTCACCTCCCCAAGTGACGGGAGGGCGCTTGTCTGTACTGGTAGGCCGTAGGCGCCGTACTCTCAATTCCGTTTAGTTCTAGGTCCCTCACTCTAAGTCAGCCTAGTCTGTACCACACGCTGAGTGCCAAGGTGGCCAAGGCGGCATTCATTACCCTCGCCTAACGTCCTGCGCTGTGACGCTCCCTGTGAGCACTGGCCAGCTTAGGCTTCTACTCCGCCCCACCCCCCCCCACGCAGTGACACTCGCACCCAGTGGGAACTGGGTCACACCCTCGCTCGGTCCCTTCAGGTCTCTCTTCCTGCTTCCTGATGTTTGGTCTGATGCCTTGCCAGGATTACATCCTAGTGAGTGGCGGCTCTACCTGCTGAAGCCTTACAGGTTGTAAGGGAAACTGTCCCCCTGCCCAGCCTCGTCCCCGAGGATGGTCCCATGGAACTGAGCAGGGTCAGCTGTCCTCTCCAAGCTCCCGAAGGTCAGGTCAGGTGGCACTGGAAGAGGCTGGACTGTTGAGCAGGCCCAAGGTCTGAGTGAAAGTGGGCATCTTTAATCAACACTCGCAATATTCTAGAAAACCATATACTGTGCTGGTGGAGGCCAAAGGTCCAGGTCACTGACAAACAAGGGGGCAGTGGCCCCAGTCCCCTCTCTGGCCTCTCATGGGCTATGGGGAGCCCTCGGCATGGTCAGTTCTTAATATGCACATGGCTGAGGCGTTGGTACTGAGACTGAAAGCCTTCACAGCTTCTATCGGGCATATTTTCTTTTTAGGAATGAAGGAAAATTCTCCCCATTTTTGAGCCATTCTTCTTTTGTCAATTCTACAAAATTGCATGTAACTTTATAAATATTTTTAAAAGATATAGTTTTGTAAATATTTAATATTCTGCTAATTTGATTTTGAATTGTAAATGTCAAGTATTCTGTTTTTGGGATTTTTATGTTTTATTATACTTTGTTAAAAAGGAAAAATTGTACATTTTTAGAATGTTTTTATGAGTAAATTTAATGTACTGAAAATAAAAATTTTAAAAAAGTCTGTTTGATTTTATCAGGTCACGGTCTCATATAGAACATGAAGTTTGCATCCTTTCAACTAACAGTTTGTGATTTCAGGCTTGGAGGTTCCTCTTTCAGCCTGCCTCCCAGGTTCCTGCACACACCTGGCCTTCCAGCCATTCACTTTCTACCAAGGTTCCTACTTCTTAATACAGTGTCAGTAAGGACATTGTAATAAAAACTCTCTCTACTCAGAAGTGGGCACTGGTGGCTCCTGCCTGTATCCAAGGTACCCAGAAGGCAGATCAGGCAAATAGTTCAAGAGAGCCCCCCATCTTGAAAATACTCACCACAGAAAAAGGGCTGGAAGAGTGGCTCAAGTGCCAGAGTGCCTGCCTAGCAAGCGTGAGGCCCTGAGTTTAAACCTGAGGGCCACAAAAAAACAAAAACAAACTCCACTTAGGTTAAAGGCATTCCAGGTCCAGGTTCTGTAAGGATCACAGAACTGGGGGGGGGGGGGTCTGCTGTGTCCATGCACTTCCAGGAGAAGAGGTGGCCCAGTGACACCAGGCCCCTGGGAGGGGCCAGCCTTTTAATGTATATGAGGACAGCTCCCAGTGGTCACCTCCCCCCAGAGGTGGTCCTTCACAGCACCAGGCAGCAGGCTCTCCAGAGAAGGCACCCACATGCAGCATGGGGTGGCCTGGAGCGAACAGTGCAATTTAGCCCTGGCTGCTCCTTGTCTGGTCTGAGAACTGCAGCTGCCCACATGGTGGCCGTAACTCCCAGCCCAAAGTGTGGCACAAGGCTGTCAGGTGTCTTTTCTGACAGCACCAGGCCTATCCACATCCACTCCTGACCTAGCTCACTGCCAGACCTCAGGAGACTAGCTTGTTGCAGGCAAGACCTGGGGCAGGATCTTGATCTAGGAGAGAACGGTATTGCTCCACCGTCCCTCCTCCCCTCCTCCCTGCCCCCCAGTCTGCAGGGCCGACTCCGGGCCAACCCCCATGAGACAGCTTTTGTGACAGTTTTCTTATGCCTTTATTCACTCAGTGCATTAAAGATGTATTTGTTAAAGATCCTATAAATAAAGGGTGCCCCTTAGCATGGTATTTGTTTTAAAAAGCAGTTATTATAGGAATCGTACTGGTCACACTGTAGATACAAGAATCCGAGCTATACTGAGGCATACAATCTAAACAAGACACTGAAAACTTACATAATGTAAAATACACACATTAAAAGTTAAGCCATGTGGACAGGCGCACAGTGGGGAAAGGTAATGGGGGATCCCAGTGATGAGGCAGAGGCTGCCGTGTTGCTTCCCCCGATTACTGGAGGTGGCTCTTACTGAGTTCCTGCCTAGACCCCCAAACACAAGGCTGCCTAACCTGCACATAGTCTGCAGTGGAGCATGCTGGAAGCACTGGCGGTTTGTTCTAGCTGGATGGAAGATATTTAACTGGACATCAATGTCAAGACCGCATGTCTCCTTTTGCTGTTCTCTTCACACTGACATTCCAGAAAATGGGAGAATCCTGACGGCTGTCTGAACTACCCTTGCACACCTGAGAACCTTTTGATAACATGCTTAAGTCACACAGTTAAAGTATCATCTATGGCTTTAAGCCAAGCAGCAGGGGGAGCGCACCTGAATGTCAGTGCTCTGCTTTGTCACTTCCACCATGTCCTAAATGATACCACACACCTGCTTGCTTCCTCACCAACACAGGACCAGACCAAGAAAATCCAAGCCAGAAGAAATGTATTTCCGTTGACAGCCTTTTAAGAAGCTGGACCAAAACACCTTACTCTGGGTTCCAGTTTCCCATTGAGCAGTGCTGCTTTCCTCTGGGCCCCCTGGAAGGCCCTGAGCGAACTGTCCACCTGCTTCTCAGGCATTGGGAGCCTGGAGCAGCCTCCTGCACACCCCTGACCCTGTTTTACGCAAAGCCAGAGGTGGGGGGGAGAGGGCAGTTCTACTTGACAACTTGGGCTCAGAGACCCCCTTAGGGAGACTTCTCCAGCTGACCAGAAGCCATGTGGGAAGGCACAGGTTCTGTGAACCTGGAGAAGAGAGTGAGTGTCTCTAAATGCCTCAGCACTGCCCGAATTACAAGTGAGTACTGGGGAAGAAAACAGCATTAAAATAACTTGAAGTCCTATTTTATTGGCAACTTAGGATGCAAAGTATTTTATTTTTAAATTTCTAAAATCTGGAAACAAGATGGCCTAGGTTAAATAAAATAACATAGTTCTCCGAAGCTGAGCGGGCTCAAGTGGAGCTTAGTTTTTCTGCCTGAAATACAAAAGCAACTTTGGCCAACACCTATGTTCTGATGTTCTGATGGCCTGTGAGGAGATGAACTGGCCAGCCTCGGCGACATCCCTTTTTTTCCTTGGTAAGGGTTTAAAAACTTCAGACCTGTCGTTCTAGTCTTACACGGACAATTTTACTCCGAACGTCTCCTGGGAAGCGTACACCATGTACAGGAATCCATCTTCATCCTTCTCACTCTCGTACACCTCCGAGATGGGTGTGGACACACTCACCATGCTGTGCCCATTCACCAAGAGGAAGAAGGCTTGGTTAGCGTTGAGCTGCAAGCGCCTTCTACAGGAAGAAAACAAAGTGAAGAAATATGTCAATAAGCAAGCATGGAGCACGTGAATCTACCCCACCCCGATGCACAAAACACTTCAGGAAGGCTTTGTAAATGCTGCTTCCTGCAAGATAAAGTGGGGAACGTAATGCATTTTCTCATAAGTGTGTGGCGTCTTCTGTGACATTACCGGTATTAGCTACAATCACTGACTACACTTGAGGCCGGTTTTAAACTAGTTACGTCTAAATAGCCAGTAGAATCTCACATAAGGAAGGGTCCAAAATACAAGGCACAAACTGGTCTCAGACCTAAGCCCATGTGAGTTTTCATTTTCTTTTACTAATTTTGTGTACACAACTTTAGTAAGTTGTGATATTTTAAAGAAACCGTAAAAAAACAGCTAGAAGGGACCTCCATGGCAACTAGAAACCTCAGGAGGCTCACTGGGCTGGCAGAGAACAGAGAAGCCACTGGAGCAAGGAAGTAGGAAGACAACCACGCACCTGATGATCTTGATGAGCTCGCTCATGTTGACATGGTCAGGCACCAGGAACTTGGTCTTGTCCAGGACGGGCAGCTGCTTCTCACCCTTGTATCGTTCTATTATCACCTAGAGAAGCCAAAGTGACTTAAAGACTGTGGCTGGCACAGACCCAGATGGGATTCACACAGCACTCCTGGCTCCTCTTGGCTCTCCTGGGACCAGCGGACAGTCATTAGATTTGCCTCTGCGCCTGGTAAAATGTGGCACAGAGCCAAGCACCAGTGGCTCACACCTGTAATCCTAGCTACTCAGGAAGCAGAGATCAGGAGGATTGAGGTTCGAAACCAACCCTGAGCAAATAGTTTGTGAGCCCCTATCTTGAAAAAAACCATTACAAAAAGGGCTGGTGGACTGGGTCAAGTGGTAAGAGCACCTGCCCAGCAAGTGCGAGGCCCTCAGTTCAAACCTCAGCACCACAGGACAGACAACAGCCACCAGGCAAACAGGTGGGAACAGATACTTTTGCTACACATCTTTTCACTCCCTTTGAATTTGGAAGCATGGAAGTTACTACCCAATCTGAGAAAGACCCCAGGCCTCACAGGAGCAGAGTGCAGAGATTCCAATGGCTGTATCAGACCCAACATCCATTTCCTGACACCTGGAAAGTTCACGGGTGCAGGTCTTTTAATAAAAGGCTAAGTTCTCTGGGGGGCGGGGGGAGAGGGAGAGAGAGAGCTCGAGTACGCATGCACCCACACTGAGACAAGGTCTCACTATGTAGCCCAGACTAGCCTAGAACTCTTGATCCTTTTGTCTCAGCCTCCCCAGTGCTGAGATTACAGGAGGGTAATCACCATGCTTGGCTGGTAAATTTTTTTTTTTTTTTGCAGTACTGGGGTTTGATCTCAGGCAGGGCCTTCACCTTGAGTCACTCCACCAGCCCTTTTGTGATGGGTTTTTTCAAGATAGGGTCTCATGAACTATTTGCCCAGGGTTGGCTTTGAACCACAATCCTGATCTCTGCCTCCTGAGTAGCTGGGATTATAGGTGTGAGCCACTGGCGCCCGGCTAGGGCTTTAAGTTTGTAACTATGGTAACAAGCTCAGTATTTTTCCATACTAGAGGCTCTTTCTCTACTTGACAAGCAAAAAATCCTAAGCAAATATTTAACAAGGCAAGTAGGTACCATGACTGGCTGGTTCTAGAGACAAACTTGGTGCAGAAAGACTTGCTGGCCCTTTCATTTTGATGAAGTCTAAACACAGGTGGCGCCTTTGAGCCTCCTTATCATTTGTGGAGTGACCTGCAGAGAGGGATGGGGCTTTCCCATGCCCTGGGCTTCTTCAGGAAGGAAATGTTCATTTGCATCCCTCCTGTCCAGGACCTCCAGCTCTGGGTAGGGCCAGCTCAAGCTGCCATCACAGTCCTTGGTAGGATGGAGCGCTTTATCAGAAGCATGGTCTCCACAAGGACACAACAGCACACAGCCACCAAGTGCCTGGGTTTAACAGGCAGCACACAACTCTCAGACCCTGGCCCAGGAGGGCTCAGAGAGATGAGAGAATAAGCCAAGTTCAAGACCTCAGAACCCTCTGAAAGGAACACCCACAAGCTGGGAAGTGCTGGGTGGTCATCGTTGGGTACCTTCCTGATCTCACTGCCAGAAGTCTGGGCTGTTAGCAGGCCATGCCTATTGGTTAGAAATCTCCACGAAGGTTGCCATCCATTGGCTAAGAATGTCCAGTTACTTTCTACTTCTTAATTTCCTCTCTTAATTTGAGAGAGAAGACACTGAAGTCATGGAATATGTGGGGTGGGTCCAAAAGGCCCCCTGTGTGGCTCACTTCCCAGTTGGCCTTTCCCTTCAGGCATCTGGACTGCCTGGGAGACTCTGCAGGCTTCTCTGGCTGCTCTAGCCTCAACAGTGCAGCACCTGTGAGTCTAGCTTTCACACTTGCTCAGTGTCATGAGCAGGTGGGAGGGCAAATAGGTTGGGTTTCCATGAAGAATACGAAGCTACAAGAAGAGGCAGCCATTGGTGAGAACACATACACTGTTCAAAAGAAAGCTGTGCACAAATCCTGACAGGCACTGTTTCCAACTGTGAGCAAGTGCTAGCCAGCAGAGGCAGCGGGTCCTCCACAGTACAGAAAAGCTCAAAACTCAGGAAATCCTGTTCAGAGGCCCTGCCTAGAAAGTTCACTCCAGCTGTACCTTCACCCTTGTGAGGACTGTGCAATGTCCAACTGGCTCAGGGAAATCAGAACAGCATGTTCTGAGCTGCAGCGTCAGGCAGCTGTGAAAATGCTAAGCACCGCCCCCCCATCCTCACTTTCTATCCCCTCTCAATTTGCTGTGACATGGTAAGAGAGGCAACATGAAAGCATGTACAATACTTGGCAATAGAGCTTCTAAGTGGCCTGCAAAACAGTGGAAGGTGCCACCAGACACTAACCGGCTTCCATAAGCCCTGACTCAAAAGTCTGCAACCACCATGTGGGGTGGGCTCCTCTTCCTACTTTACAGAACATGATGGTGGAGCTCCTCCCAGAATTTTAGGAACCTGTCCAAGACCACTTAGTAATATGAACCTAGTCTGGAACTCAGCCCGTCTGAGAGCAAAGGCAGGCAGGTCCCTTCAGGTCAGTCTGTTCCAGATCTCAACCCCTCCACTCATTTATGGTCCACCACAGGGGTGACAACACAGGAGATATCAACAAAAAGACACGCAGGGAACTGGGTGCTGGTGGCTCACACTTGTAATCCTAGCTACTCCTTCAGGAGGCAGAGATCAAGAGGATCTCGGTTCAAAGCATCCCAGGAAAATAGTTTGCAAGACCCTATCTGGAAAAAACCCATCACAAAAAATGGCTGGTGGAGTGGCTCAAGGTGCAGGCTCTGAGTTCAAACCCCAGCACAGCCAAAAAGAAAAGATACTAGGGCTGGAAGAGTGGCTCAACTAGTAGACTGCCTGTCTAGCAAGTGTGGGGCTCTGAGTTCAAACCCCAGTACCCCTCCCCCCAAAAAAAAGAAAGAAAAAAGAAAAGAAGACACTCAGTGTCTGAGGCCCCACAGGAGACACAAAACAGTGCTGTCCCTTTTCCACAGCCTGCAAAGCAGTCACACGTACGAGACATCCTCCACAGGAGTCATGTTAAAGGTAGGAAGACATGTCCTGCCTAACAGAACAGTGTGCAGGCGTGCAGCTCAGGGTAGACTGCACCTAGCACTCACAAGGCCCCAGGGTCCACCCCTAGTCCCACAAAGAAAAACCATACCAACAGTTCCAGCCCTGTCCCTTTCTCTGCAAATAATTCCTTCTGGCTTGTGAAATGGGTAATGAGGGCGGCAAGTTCAGATTAGGAAGAGAAAGAATGATTAGATAACAAAACTTGAGCAATGTGAATTCTGGGAGGAAAGCCTTGCGGGCCTGGGTATCCGAGGACTGGGTACAGGAGGGAGCTGGCACCTGTGGCCACTTACCGGGATCTTGGTGGGGTGCTGCTCCCGGATGAGACGCACATCTTCTACTCTCTGCTCTGCAAGGTAAGGAGGACACAAGCATTGGGGTCAGCCAGCTGCTTCCCAGCAGTGCTGTCATGCCTCTCCCACATGTGAACACAGCTGCACTTCACCACATGGAGCACAGCAGGGAAGACACCTTCCCGGGCCACAAAACCCAAAGGCTTACAATTCACAACTGACAAAAGGCCAAAGGTAGAGCATGTGGAAACCAAAAGGCACAGCTCCATCAGGCGGTGTGACCTGACACCAGACTGCAGAATTCCCACTCTCAAGGGGCTAGGACCCCAGCTGTGGGGCCAGATGTCCTAAGCAGGTTAACTGCATGGGATTCCCAATCTCCCCCAAGGACTCCTGCCACCCATAATGCCAATTTGGACAGGAATCCATCATAAACCAAGGACTACTCCATGTAACTTCCTCTCCTCACTTCCAGGGATTTAATGGACTTAATTTAATGCTCAAGGGAAGGAATATAGAAAGAAAAGAATACCCTATTTGCATTTTTCCCCATTTTTCTTAAGACAAGGTTTCAATGTGTAGCCCAGCATGGCCTGCCTTGAACTTGCAATCCTCCTGCCTTAGCCTCTGGAACGCTGGGATTACAGTTGTTCTTCACCACACCCAGCTCTATTTGAGTTTTAAATAGCTTTACTCAGGGCCTAAAAGAAATCAAAACTTACAGCACAAAGTCTGTTAAGCACTTTTCTGAGACTATCTATTCTCCTTTTTTAATTTTTATTTTTGTGGAGCCGAGGATGTAATACTTGGTAAAGGGCTTCACAGCTGAGCAATAGCCCCAGCCTAGTCTCCCTTTTAAAATAATTTACATTCTAACAACTGAACTTGGCTCTCTGCGCTATTTGGGAAAAAGATGAGCTCAGTAACTGACAATACAGTTGGAGACATGCCATTTACAAATCACTATATGAACATGAGTTGAATGATATTACTTAAAACCTTCAGAGAAAAATCAACAAAATCACATCATTTGGAACAGGATTTAGACAGGATTCCCCCTCAGGGTACTCGCAAATACATAATCAGTGTCACTAACTTCCCAGGCAGGTGGCTCCAGAAAAAAGATGGTATGGCTTAAGGCTGGGTGTGGCAGTATACACCTATATAATCCTGGCACTCAGGAGGCTGAGGCAGGAGGATACCAAATTCAAGGCCAGCCTAGGCTTCACAGTGAGACACTGTAAAACAAAACAAAACAACACAAAAGAACACCTCTCTAGGCGCTGGTGGCTCAGGCCTATAATCCCAGCTACTCAGGAGGCAGAGGTCAGGAGGATTGCAGTTGGAAGCTGGCTTAGGCAAATAGTTTGAGAGACCCTATCTCAAAAAAATCCATCACAAAAAGGGGCTGGTGGAGTGGCTCAAGGTATAGGCCCTGAGTTCAAACAAACAAACAATCCCCCCCTCCAAAAAAAACCTCAATGAATACAAATTTAAGCGCACTCGCCAGGCAGGTGCCCTTACCACTTGAGCCCAATCCTAGCCATTTGGAAGGCTGAAATCAAGAGGACTGAGGCCAGCCTGGGCAGACAGTTCCTATGACCACTTTCCAAAATAACTAGAGCAAAATGGCCTGGAGGTGTGGCTCCAAATGCCACACCCTGAGTTCAAACCTCAGTCCTACCTTAAAAAAAAAAAAAATTAGCATAGGAAGCTGTTGAATAATCCCTGTGCTCAGGTGTAGTCATGTGGGCTGTTTCTATTTTCCCAACCAACGTTATAACATCGGCTTGAGACAGATCGCTAGGGGGAAAGGGAGGGGGCAGAAATGACCCAAACATTTTATGCACATATGATTAAAAGAAAAAAAAAAAAAGACAGATCACTAAACATCAACATGTTAGCCACAGACGGCTGTGAATACAAGCACCAGGGCTTCCACTGGAGCGCTTCCTACTGAGCAAATGCGAGGACAAGGGCAAAGTCAACTATGTCCACAGTGACCCTCATGTGGCGCTTCAGCCGTCCCCAGCAGGGCTCCCTGACCTCCCTTCACCACCTCTCCCTCCATGTATCCCACCGGGCAACCGTGCAGTGCCCTCCCCAGCGACAACTTCCAAGAAGTCTGTGTGGATCACTTCAGCGTGTGTGGAGTCACTCCAACAGATAAACAGCTCTTTACATGTCCTGGAATCCACTTCACATTTAAATGCTTATCCCAGCAAATCTAAGCATTTAAGCAGAGGGGAAGAGATTTTTATTCTAAAAAACAAAGTCTCTAAATGGCAGACTTCAATGTCAGTACTACAATGTTATCTTCTGTCTGATTTATCCTGAAAGCAAGGCCCAAAGCGGTAGGGATCAGAGGTACAAAGGAGACAAGGGAGCAGTGAAGTTGCACAGTGAAGGGGGGACCCCTGGAAGAACCTGCTCCCCGCCCCACCTCTCAGGCCCCTGGTGAGGACATGAACAGAGGGCGGAGACTAAGGTGCGCACTGTTTACCAACATCATTTGCAGCTTGCTTTTGGGAGGGCCTTGGGCACTTCCCCATCTGACACACCTTTCCTAGGATTCATTGCAAAGTGAAAGGTAAGTAAGGACCATCCCATCTCCTGTATCCGTCTAGATGACACAGATGTGACATCCAGGCATCACCCAGTGCCACCTGGGTTTGACACTAGCTGCTACAGCAGCTGCAGCTCCACACAGGCAGTCCAACCCTCAAGAGCTGGGCTGGGAAACAGATCTGTGGTCACATAAGCTGGGTGGCGGGAGGGCATGGAGCGGATTACATCTGAGAAGACCCAATCCAAAGCTGCAAGTTCTCAAGTTTGCTGCAAGGGCAGCGCCTTTGCCTCCACCTGGGTCCCCTCCACACCCCGGAGGTGAAGGCGCTGCGGGGAGTACAAGGACCGTGCTGGCCTCGCCACTAGGCGGACCAAGAGCGTCACCTCCCGGGCCCCACCCTGGCTCTTCGGCTACAAAGGAAGGGGGTGGCGGGGGGCGAGCCCCAAGTCCACTCCGATTTTAAGGGTGCCTGCGAGCAGCAGAGGAAATCGGCGCAGCAACCGTCCGCCTTAGCGTCCAGCCCGCTGGCTGGGAGGACAAGGGCTGGCTCGGGTCCCAGGGGACCTGGCTTCCCTCCCCTAGTGACAACTGTCGCGCCCGGGCCACCGGGGTCGGCTGCAAGGCCGGGTCCCCGGCACCCCTGCAAAGTGACCATTACGGGGCGGGGAGGACCCAGGTAAGCTAGGGGACCCCAAGTGCCCTGCGCAGCGGACACGGCCAGGAAGCAACGGGTGATGTCGTCGCTTTGCCCAGGGACACGCCAGGACCCGGGGACCCGAGGACCCCGAAGCATCTCGGCCCCGCCCGGACGGGGACCGCGACCGCGACCCGGGCCGAACGCCAGCGCCCCAAGTCCCGGAAGGCGGCGGCGCGCGGCCCCGAACCAGGCTTCTGGCCGGGTCAGTCCCGGCGGGGATTCGGGTCGTCCCGGTGTCGCCACCGGCCCAGTTCCCCCTCTCGACGCCCCCCCCGCCTCCGCCTAGGCCCCCCGACCCCAGCCCCACAGCGCGGCCTCCGCCACCCCGCCGCCCCGGCCCGGCGCCGACGCCCACCGAACGTGCGGCGCTGCTTGAAGGTCTTCTCCGACGGCATGGTGTAGGGCCCGGGGACGGTAGCTGCGGGTCCGACAGTGGCGACGGCGACTTCCCTTGTGTTCTCCTCAGCCCGCAGCCGAGTCAGGTGACGGACGCCGCGTCACTGGGGGCGGGGCCAGGGCCGGCTGGGGCCGCCGCCATGACGGGCGTGGCGGAACCCACAGGCCGTGCGCAGCGCGGGGGGGCGGGGCCGTGTGTGCGCACGCAGAAAACGCGCTGCGCATGCGCCTTGTGCCGCTAAGCCCCACCTCCCGGAGGATGCGCGAGTGAGTGCGTCTCGTGCCCTGAGACGCGGCTGAAGCAGGTGACCCCTGCTGTCCCCTCCCCGGCGGGTGCTGTGGCCCCGGGTTCCGCCAGTCCCGCTGGTGTGGGCAGGCGTCCACTGTCCGTTCTTGTCCCGAGGCTCCTTCGCGGGTGTGCTTTGACCTCGTCCTTTTGCTAAGTAATCTTCAGATTTGGAGATCCCCGGCCGGGTGTGACCAGATCAGATTACGTCTGGCCCTGTGCCGCCACTTTTTTTATTTATTTAATTTATTTAAATGGGATTGGTTTTGCAAAGCAGCCGCTTTACCGCTTGAGTCACACCCCAGTCCATTTTGCCCTGGTTATTTTGGAGACTGGTGGGGGGAGGGGAGGAGGTCCTGAACTCTGCCCAGGCTGGCCTCGAACTACGATCCTCCTGCTCTCAGCCACCAGCTCCACGCTCTTTTATCTGATCTTTGAGAAACCAGGAGAAACAGAAAAGTTTGCCCCAGAGGCTAGAGTTAGCCTGAAATGAAGTCCCACTGCACCTTCCATCCTTTCAAAAAGTGGTCTGGACTGGACTTGCGGGTGCACCGCTGTAATCTCAGCTACTCGGGAGCATAGAAGTTTGAGGCCAGCCTAGGATGGGAAGAGTTCATTTCAGCCAACAAGCTGGGCATAGTGGTAGAAGTCTGTAATACCCAATAGATGGGTATTGCATAGATAGATAGGAGGAGTGCAGTCTGAGGCCAACCCTGAACTTCAGACCCTATCTGAAAATAAGTAGAACAAAAAGGGACTGGAAATGTGGCTCAAGTGATAGAATGCCTGCCTAGCAAGCACCTGGCCCTGGGTTCCAACCCTAGTACCGTGCACATGCACACATGCGCGCACACACGTTGTGGTTTTGTCCTTTGACAATACTAAAACTTGTGTCTCCGTGTGATGTACAGCAACAGTTTCTTCCCCAATAGAGAACGCAAGCATTGTCATTGACCCCATGACCTTACCTGTGGCTATTCATTCAGCCACTGTTGAGATACTAGTCCTGTGTAGGCAGCTAGGTAGACATGAGCAGGAACAGGGAAACCCCAGACTCCACTCTAAAGCCGCAGATAGCTCTCACACTGGGTCAGCTGTGGCGACCACCCCCCACATCAAAGGCGGAACCGAGTCCAACATGCAGGCAGCCTCTGAGCAGTAGCCGAACCACTGGAGGAGGGGAGAGCCCTGCTTTTGTGCAAGCAGTCACCCCACTTTCTTGGCTAGGGCCCCAGCCCCCATGTGCTTTTGTTATGCAGCGGCCTGCCACACCCCCTGAGCGTGTGATTCTGCTTTGCAGTAAGGCCCTTCTTACTCTCTTCCCACTGCTGGTGGCTCTAATCTTAGACACTGTACCCGAGAGCCAAGGAACTCGTGACCCAGGTTTTTACCCGTGTTGCTCCTCTAGCCCTTGTCTCTCTGCTTACAGTCCATAAAGAAGGAACACTTTAACATCCTGTTTTTCACAGTTCCAAAGGACAGTTCAGCAGCTCCAGGTACCAACCTGAGCTCTAGGAGCATTCTTCGGTGATGTGTCTGTGCTTTCCTGCTTGTATTTATTCTGTGAAAATTGAGTGACATGCTGGGTATTGAGGGTGGGGGGGAGAGGGAGGGGGTGGACTGGGTGGTAAGAGAGGGGGTGGGGGCAGGGGGGAGAAATGACCCAAGCCTTGTATGCACATATGAATAATAAAGTTAAAAAAAAATTGAGTGATGATTCCAGTAAGCAGAGACTATGTGCCTACCTTCTGCCAAACAAAATCACCAGTTTTGACGTCTTAAAACAAGGCGGGCTGCTGTTTCTTCCCTGATGGTAACTATCAGCCTGCTGAGTGCTTTCTTGGCTTAAGGGCTACTTTGTAAGAAATGGCATTTTCTTTCTCTTCCAAATGTAAGGGGAGGTAAAACGTCAATACCTGGCATAAGGAGGGGGAGGAAGGGAAGGAAGGGCTTGTGTCAGGATGTACCCACAAAGCTTTGCCAAATGACCCCAGGGTTACTCATTGGCAGGGTGTTGTAGTACTGACAGGTCAGGGTTGCTCTTTGTCATTTTGACATACTGAAGTCCACATTTGCAAAGACACTTTAATTCTACCCCAACTTGTCTCTGCAGCCCAAATGCACATACAGGGTACATGGGTCTCAAAAGAACCCCAAAGCAGTTGGTGTCACTCCACACAAGAATGACATACCTGGGTGCCAGTGACTCACGCCTGTAATCCTAGCTACTCGGGAGGCAGAGATCAGGAGAATCACCATTTGAAGCCAGTTAGGGGCAAATAGTTTGTGAGACCCTAGCTTGAAAAAACCCATCACAGAAAAGGGCTGGTGGAGTGGCTCAAGGTGAAGGCCCTGAGTTCAAACCTCAGTACCGGGGAAAAAAAACAAATCAAAACAGAGCAAAATGGACTGGAGGTGTGACTCAAATGGTAGGGTGCCTGCTTTTTTGAGCACGAGCTTTGCAAGTGCAAAGTTCTGAGTTCAGACCCCAGTCCCACCAAAAAAAAAAACAAACCAAAAAAAAGTGAAATCCTTACACTAAAAAAAAAAAAAGACTGGCACAGCAGTAGTGTGTGGTCATAGTCACAGCTCACTTTTATTCACCACAAGTAAACACCATAGGAGTGAACACAGGGCAGCCAGGTTAGGACCAGACACCCTCCACTTCACAGGTAGCTTACTGGAAACTCTCTACTCAGCTCCAAAGAATGACAAAGCTCACCCCGCTTCTCTTCCTGAGCCACAAAAGAATTTCCCACTCAGCTCCCTTCGTGGGACTTCTCCTGTCGTCAGCCTCCTCTATCTCCCCCAGTCCATAATCAGCGGTGAGCTCTAGCATCTGCTGGAGACCCCTGCACAGGTTTTTTTTTTTCTCCCAAATAAAACCTATGCTGAGGTTGAGCTGTCTTCTGCCTATCCTTCCCTGCCATTTTTCAGTCTAATACCACAGCAGCTTCATAAAGATTTGCTGACAGCAGTGTGCCTGAGTAACTGTGAGGCAGGTCTTAGACACTGAAGAGCCTTGAGTTCAAACCCCAGTCCTACCAAAAACAAACAAAAACAAACCTTGGACACTGAAGAGCCCAGTTTAACAGGAGGTTTCTGTTTATTTTTGAGGCAGGGTCTCCCGAAGTAGCCGAGGGTGGCCTGGAACTTGGTGTGCTCTGTAGTGCTCAGAATACAGGCGCAGGCCGCCCCTCAGCTCACAGAAATTTAATGCAGCGAACGATATTCAGAATGGCAAACTAGTATTCCTCTCAAGGGCTGGGCGGCTGCTCCATGGTACCGCGCTTACCTAGCGTGTCGTGTGCAAGGCCTTGAGTTGATACCCAGGAAAAAGCAAACCGGATCACTTCCGATTAACAGCAATAAAGCCATTGTGTGGCTTTTTTTTTTTTTTCCTGCAGTGCTGCAGATTAAACCCAGGGTCTAGAACATGCTAGGTAGGCACTTTACCTCTGAGCTACACCTCCAGCTCATGGGGTTTATTTTTTCGTTAAGCATATAAATAATACTTTTTTTTCTGCCTGAAGTGGTAGAACCCTCGCCTACCAGCACAAGTTCCTGAGTTCAACTCTCACTGTGACCAAAAAAAAGTAACTCATTGGATAAAAACATTAAAAAATACGTAATAGTTTTCCCATAAATAACCCATATGGAATAGAAAAGCAAGAACACGTTTCATTTTAATTAATTCAAAATTTGAGAATTTCATGTGTTATTATTATTTGGCTTTTTGCGACAAGTAGGCCAGGCTGGCCTCGAACACTCAGCTCTTCGCCTAGGACTCCAGGAATCTGTGCACCTGAACCCAGGCAGCAACTTCCGGTCGCAGTGCAGACCGCAGCTGCCACTCCGCCACACTCAAGATGGAGGACGAGTGGCCCCGAGGATTCGTGGGGCCCTGCGGCCTGCGACGGCTAGTCCCGCCCCCCACCTCTTCCTGATTGGACGAGACGGTCCGCCGGCTTTGTTTTCTGGGCGGCTATTGGCCAGGTGTGCAATTAGTCGCGGCGTCATCCTTCACTGCTCTTTAGAACAAGTAAACAAACAAGGATTGCTCAAGAGCGGCCCTGGCGTTCTCGGAAGGGCTCGTGCGAGGCCTCAGAGGCCAGCTTAGGGCAGTCGCCAGCTCCGGGAGCCAGGCTGGCGTGCTTAGAGCAGGTGACCAGTGTCACCGCGCGGTGACAGCGGCCGCGTGGCTGCGGCAGGTGCCGAGCTGGGGAGCCGAACGGTCGTGGCGCGGCTCCGGCTGCACGCTGCGAAGGCGATCTCCTGGCCATGTCCTGCGTGGGGACAAGTCCCTTAGCACACCTCGATTCTGAGGAGTGGCCAAGAAATACTGTTGCAGCGACTTCTGAACCAAGCAGTTGGAAATCCACCCTGCCGGGGATATTCTACTCAACTTCCTTAGATGTCATCAGCTGTCACTGCCGGAGGGCCCTGCTGCAAAGTGCTGTCCCCCTCCTCCTCTGGGAACGAATGCCCCCTCCTTCCTGCTCCTGCACAAGGCCTGTGGAAGTGTCCCCAGGGGCCTGGTGCGCACAGCTGTCTGCAGGCACCAGCTGCAGACAAGGACCCCCAGTCGTCCTTGTCCCCACCTCCCGCGCCCAGGATGACTTAAGGCCTCCGGCAACCCTGAGCTGCTCCGCCTCAGGGTCATCTGCATGCAATTCTGCATCGCTCGCTGCCCGGGGAGCCTGAGCTGGCTTCCCAAAAACAGCGCCATCATCGCTTGGTGCCATTCTGGAACAGGGAGTGTCTAGCCTGGTCTCCAAGGAGTTTGCATCCTGGCTCCAGCTCATATTCCACCTTCTGCTTCCCAATCTTGTGCCCACGAGTCCCTGACCCCTGGCCAGTCTGCCTTTCTGCCTTGGTGCCTGCCATCGCCTGGCAAAGGCTCTTGGCTGACTTGCTGACTTAGCCAGGAACAACCAGCTGTTTTTTTCTTTGTAGAACATTCTTTCCTTGGGTTTTTTTTTTTATTGGCTGCCTTCAATTTTGTTGTTGTTGGTGGTGGTGGTGGTGTTGAACAGGCCCTTGTGCTCTTCCTATAATCACATATGACACTTCCTCGAAGAATCTCTCTGATCCCCCAAAGTAAACCTGGTCTTCCCGTGAGCATAAACATCTGTGTCTACTTGTCTACAGAATTATGCATTTTGTATATGTGTGTTTGTGTGTCTCTGTATCTTTCTAATTGCAGAGTTCCATACCTCAAATTATGAATATAGACTAGTATGACCATTCTTCTAAAGATGAAAACTTAACAAATTATTTTATATGTTTTAATAAACTGTAAGATCCAGTACCTGGTGTAGGGCCATTAGAGGGGGTAGATAGGTTTTCTGTTTCTTTTTTTTTTTTTTGTTAAATCATTGTACTGGGGGTACATTTACTGGTGACAATTCCTGTTTTGTCATTTTTTTTTTTTTTTGGCAGTACTGGGGTTTGAACTCAGGGCCTACACCTTGAGCCACTCCACCAGCCTTTTTTTTGTGAAGTGTTTTTTGAGATAGGGTCTCACTATTTGCTTGGGCTGGCTTTGAAATGCGGTCCTCCTGATCTCTGCCTCCTGAGCAGCTAGGATGATAGGCGTGAGCCACAAATGGCCGGCTTGTGTGTTTTGTTGTTTCATAAACTGAATTACACCTAGATTATACTCTGGAAAATAGCTCAAAGGCTAGTCAGGCAGTCAGTAATGCTTATTAAATCAGCTGTGCATTTCTGTGCACTCATACTTCCTAGCTTGAATGTCTGAGGTTGGTAGGTCATCACCAGCTTCCTGTACACCTTAATGTTCCTCATTCTTCAGTCTTGTAGCCAGTTTTTCTCTCATCTAAGAAATATTTAGTAAGTCTTTGATTACATGATGCTTGTTGGCACATGGCGTGACAGGGAATGCATGCATGCACTAGCTCCAAGAGGAGAATTGTATATCATGAAAACTGACTGCTCTGTAATAAAGGGACCATTGTTCCCCCCGGTGACAATGTGGGGAAGCTTCACAGAAGGAGCCATTTTGAGGCCATTGAGGCAGGGTGTCGGCTGGCACAGGCTGGCAGGTGGTCCTCCAGGAGAAGGCTTGAGCTGGCCCAGGACTGAGCAGTACCTGCTGTGGCCAGGCTCCAGCAGGGAGGTGGGCGGGACTAGGGGTGAGGCCAGGTCCCCAGATGCCCCCAGATTGTAAGGAACTTTGTTGATGGTGGAGTCACCCGGGGCCATTAAATCCTTTGAAATAAGTAAGCAACATCACGGCTTTGATTTTGTTTATTATTATGTGAAGAGCGTCTGACACGTGCGCACAGAGAGCTGGAAAAACAGTGTCAAGTGCAGAAAGCTGCATTGAGTGTTGTTTCGGTCCTGTGGACTGGAAATGTTCAAGGTTAGACTACAGGAAAACCTGTGCTGTGGACTTTACTGAGATTGGCTTTTGAGGGCCAGGTGGTCTCCCTGTCTCCTGCTCCTCACATCTGGAGGTGGTGGCAGCAGAGAGAGGCTTGTGGAGACATGGTCCAAGGTGCTGATGGGGCCAGCACTGCTGCTTTGATTACCAGCCAGGTGTACAGAAATCTGTGTCCAGTGGACACAGCTTGGCACCCCAAGCCTGGCAGGCCAACCTCTACCACCTACCCACACCTAGCTGCCATGGGCTTACACTCTATGATGAAAGGCAGCCCGCACAGAGCGTGTCTTTAGCCACACCCCTTACACTCTTAATTTTGTTAAATAACGTTTAATTTGTTAAGACAGGGTCTCCCAATGTGGCCCCACCTGGCTTGTAACTTGCAATCCTTCTGCCTCAGCCTGCCGAGGGCTGGGATGACCAGCGTGTGTCACCATGCCTGGCTTAATTTTAATTTAAAAAACAGGGCTGGTGCACACCTGTGATCCCAGCCCTCCGGGAAAAGGAAGCAGGAGGATCGAGTGTTCAAGGCCAGCCTGGGCTACATAAGGAGACCCCCTGTATCAAAAAAATCAAAATTACATTATTACACTACAATAATTAGTAATATACTCGCATAGCATGATATGTTCGCATGGTGAATATATTTAGCAAAGACCGAAAGGTGGAAGGACACGCAGAGAAATCCGCGGACCCTCCTGAATGGCGACAGCTGTAAGTTTCTACGTACCCGGTGCCTTTGGTGGCAGGTGCCTGGAGCACGGTGAGCAGGTAGACAGGTAGACAGGTGAACAGGTGAGAGCGCGAACTCGGAGCCGGGCGGGCGTCTCCAGTCCCCCGGGAGCCCCAGAAGCTCCAACGGTGGACGCTTCCTTTGCGATAGGCAATGACTGCAGGTCAGTTCTCGGTTCCGGCCCGAGCCGGTGAGACCCAGTGCATCTGAAGCGCAGCAGGTGTTCCCGGGCCGTCCCGGGACCGGGCGCAGGCCGCGGTGACTCTGCAAATGCTGCAGCGCGGGGCGTGCGCCCGGGAGCCTCGTTAGCGCAGTAGGTAGCGCGTCAGTCTCATAATCTGAAGGTCGTGAGTTCGACCCTCACACGGGGCATCCACGTCGTTTTGTTCCCAACACCCCCGGCAGCAACTCTCTTTTCCCCAGCGGTGTTGCGCACGGATCTCCACGGGCGCGCGCGGGGTCCCCGCTCACAGCGCACGCGGGGAGGAGCGCGGGGGCGGGGGTGGGGTGGGGCTGGGTGGGGGTGGCGGTGTCCCGCGCCCCTGGGCGGTGCCACCTGGGGGCGGGCCCTTAGTAGGCGGGGCTCCGCGTCTCGTCATTTACAGAGGCGGGCCGGCGAGCGGTTCAGTCTGCCGGAAAACTGGTTAGGCCACTGGGGGCGTGGCCTCGCCGTGAGGGCGTGGCCCCAACAGCAGGGGTGTGGTCGGGCGTTCCGGGCGGGACTGTGGCGCGCTTCGCGCGTGCGCAGAGCGTAGTGTGTGCGTGCGTGCGTGCGTGCGTGCGCGTGCCCGCCGCCCGTCTGTCCTGGTGGGCATGGCGGTGTGCGCTCGGCTCTGCGGCGTGGGCCCGGCGCGCGGATGCCGGCGTCGCCAGCAGCGCCGCGGCCCCGCGGAGACTGCGGCGGCCGACAGCGAGCCCGACACGGACCCCGAGGAGGAGCGCATCGAGGCGGGCGTGGCGGCGCCGGCCGGCCCCGGGGGCGGCCCTGGCGCGGGCCTCTCGCCGCCGCCCGCGCGCTGCTCGCTCCTGGAGCTGCCGCCCGAGCTGCTGGTGGAGATCTTCGCCTCGCTGCCCGGCACCGACCTGCCCAGTCTGGCACAGGTCTGCACCAAATTCCGCCGCATCCTGCACACCGACACCATCTGGAGACGGCGCTGCCGGGAGGGTGAGCGCGGAGGCTGGGGGAGGGGGAAACCCCTGGACCTCGGGGCGGCCTCAAGCCTGGGAAATGACGGAGGACCCGTTGAAATTTCAGGCTGGGGACACAGGGAAGGTTGGGGGTGCTCCCGGGCCGCGGACGCAGGTGAGCGATGGCGAGCTGGGGCTGGGGTCCCTGTGAACCGCGCGCCAGAGGTTGGAGGGACTGAGCTGCGCCGGCCCCCTTCTGGACCCCAGAACTCGGGGGCGGAGCTGAGGGTCCCCGAGGGCGCTAGGTCTGTACACTGGGGTTCCGCCTCGCCCTCCGGGAGGTTAGGTGCACAAGTGAGGGCTGGGAGTAGCTGTTGTAGGTGACTTCGTGCACCATTGATGAGTTCAAGACTGCGCTTCAGCCTTGGCGGACCTCCGTTGTGCGGTCAGATCTCATAGTTTGGTAAATGGGTAGGTTAAAAAAAAAAGTTCAAACGGTGGAGAAGAGCAAAAGGAAGAAAGTAAAAATCATCAGAGTTTTGCAAAGATACGGCACGGTTAAAAACCGGAAAGCGCTATTTCCGGGTATACATTTACACATGCAGTCCCGCACATCCTCTGGCCTGAGTGGTGTCTGCTGCGCGTTCACCTAGGCAGATGCGTCCTGCCTTGGCGCAGCGCAGACTGGTCCATCCCTCCCTACCTGGCAGTCTTCCATTTTGCTTATTGAGTACTGCTTGGTGCATTTTATACAACTTTGGGAGCTTTGCGCGGATCTTCAGCACTTCTGAGATGTCTTTTTAAGGCGCGTTTCCAAAGAGGGGTCGTGGGGTAGCTGATGAAACCTTTGCTGCCATTGTCCGATGTTGGGATTTGCACTCCAGGTAGGCTGCATGAGAAGGCCATTTCCTCACAGCTTCCCCAACAACAAGGTTGGCTGTCTTGACTTCCTGAGGTGACCTAATGGTTTAGGCTACCTCGAGTTCTGGCTCAGGCTCCATTTACCTGCTGTCAGATCCTGGGCAGGTGGCTTCATTGTTCCAGATCCGACTGGAAGCACTGGAGGGAAGTGAACCATGGGTGGCATTGAGAGCTGAGGAAGGCAAGTGTGTGAAATCCTCCCCTGAACTTTTAGCTGTTTGGTAGTGGAGCTGCTTGGCCATTTTTATTGTGCCTTTTGTGATTTCCTGTTTGTTTTTGTTTTAGGTTATTTTTGCCTTACAAATTTGCAAGAACTTAATATCGACCTTTAGTCACATACGGGCAAGTAAAGTGTGGCAAAAAGGTCGGGTGAGGTGGCTCACATCTATAATCCCAGCTACTTGGGAGGCAAGGCGGGGGGCGGATCTCAGTTTGAGCCTTGACAAAAGAAAGTTAATGAGACTCCCATCTCAACAAACAAGTTGGGTGTAGTGGTGTGCACCTGTTATCCCAGCTGTGAGGGAGGATCAATGTTCAGGCTGGCCCAGGCCAAAAATGGTAGAACGTTCCAGAAAATAACTACAGGCCCCCCCCCCCCCCCCGCACGCACACACACACACAAAAAGGCTAAGAAAGTAGTTATACTTTCCCTGTGAGCTTTGCTTTGCACTTTGCACACGTGTAACACCAGGTCCTGGGAAATACATCACTCTGCTTTGAGGAGTTTTTCGTCAGCCCCTAACCTGTAGTGGGGGGGGGGGGCGGGCGCTGTCTCACAGGAACTGCAAGGTGGCCAGCTCAGCTCTCTTCCATCTGTTTTTAGCACCTTTTTTTTCTGGTGGTACTGGAGTTTGAACTCTGGGCCTTGCACTTGCTAGGAGGCAGGGGCTCTACCATTTGAGCCGTGCCCTCAGCCAGCTCTACTCTAAGAATAGTAGAGGGAAGGTATCTATCCTATTTTGTGTGGTCAGAGGTATGCTACAGCAAATCTAACAGAATGGTAGCTGGGACCACAGCTACTTGATGACTGCCCAGCTTGTGTCGCAGATTGCCAGACAGGCAACCTGCAGCTGTCTCGGGACAGGAGCGGGGGTCACAGAAAAGGAGTAGAAGTGACCACCATGCATCACTTCAGAACTGCCACTGTTGTGCCCCAAGAACTTGAGGTTTTCTTGTGTAATCTGGGCATGTTATTTCATTTCACTTGCCCAACAACTGGTTGAGCAAAATGTTTTTATAGGCTGGGCTGTGGCTCAGTGCATAGTGCCCGCCTAGCATGCATGGGCTGTTGGATCAGTCTCTGCCACAGGAAAAGAAACAAACAAAACCCCAGAATGTATCACTGGGCCAGTGGATTTCTCTTGTCTGCATGTCTTTAGCTCTTGCCTTCTCCTACTGTTTTCCTTCAATTTATGAGTTTTAGTCACCTAATCTGAATAGATTTGTTGAATATATTGCAAAATGTTTCTTTCCTTGTCTGTAGTCTTTTGTTTTTGAGCTTCATTTATTGCAAAATTTGCAGCTCTAAAGTTAGGGACTTTATTTTACATTGTGTTATTTTATTTTATTTTGGTAGTACTATGGTTTGAATTCAGGACCTTGTGATTGATTGTTAGGTGCTGTACCATTTGAGCTATGCACCAGCCCAAAGTTGTAGATTTTAAATTTGTGTGTAAGTGGTTACACTTACCCCAAGGTTAGGAGCACAGCACACAGCTGGGTTCTCAGAGTTCAGCACCTTCATTCTAGCAGCCTTTTTGTTTTTTTTCCTTTTGAGACAACTTCTAGCTATGTTGGCCAGGCTGCCCTTTCCTCCAGTTTTAGTTCCCTCTGTCCAGGTTGCGATCCCTATGCAGCACTGTTGGTGTCTGAGGGGAGCAGTTCTCTTGTGTACATGTGGATGCAGAACTGTGTGTGAGGTAGGCCTGGTCTGATTTCTCTGAGCCCTATCTTTGGGTATAGTGGAAGCTAACAAGGCCAAAGTCAAATGGTTTTAGGTGAAAAACAGCACTGGCCCCAGCCAGGAGAGCAAAGGACTAGGATCTCACCCTTGCTGTTTCCTGGCAGTGCTGTAAGGTGGCTCCATCATGTAGGGTCTCAGGAGGACGAGTGAGTCTGATTTGTGTGTTTACTTGGGAATGGGAAATGCACTCCTGCCTGGGTTTTATTGCTTCTGAGAATTTTGGGCTGCAGTTAACTTTTATGGGTGTGGACCGGGCATATGGCATTTAAGAGGTCTTTCTAAAATGATGGGATGATTTGTGGCTGGGAAGATGCTAGAAATTAAGATGAAGTGGTTATTTTGGGTGTTTGTGACGCAGTGAGACGCTCAGAATCTCCCTCATCCATTAGCGAGAATGAGCCCGTTATTTCCACACTACCTGGGCCCCACCAGTTTGGATTCAGAGTGACTCAGGCTAAGATTGGATTAACTGTTTCTCTTTTTCTGGGCAGGTGAAAGAGTTAAGCCAGGTCTGTTCAGATCCTGGGCTAGAGTCACAGTAGGGGATATTGCCCAGAGGAGAGGAAGGAACCAGCCCCAGCGGGCAGAGTCCAGGGGTGAAGGCTGTTCTGATGGTCATTCCCTTGACTGCGGCCTGGCTGGCTGTGGATAAGTCGTCACTTCCCAGAACCCCGAGGGCTCATGCCAACCACTCGTCTGACTTTGCCTCAGTGACTTTTTTTTTTTTCCAGTACTGGGGTTTGAACACCTTGAGCCATTGCACCAGCCCTTGTTTGTGAAGGGTTTTGTCGAGACAGGGTCTTGCAACTCTTTGTCTGGGCTGACTTAGGATCACTGCCTCCCAAGTAGCTAGGTTTACAGGTGTGAGCCACCAGCTCCCAGCCAGGAGGGCATCTTTAAGACTTCTTTTGTGTTAACTTTAAGAAAGGAGCTAGAAAGTGAGTCAGCACCCAGCTGGCATTGAGTGCCAGTGCCCCTTATCACAGTCAGTGGACACACTGGTGACTTGCCAAGAGTGGCCTGGCTGTCCTAGGTCCAGGCCCCGCTGTTCTTCCAGCACAGACTTTACAGGAAAGGTTTCTGTGGGGCACTGAGAACCTTGGTGTGTCTTTCTGCAGGAAGGACATGTAAATACAGGGGTATTTACACACATTGGAGTGAGTGTCCTACAAAAGCATGTGTGTGATAGCTTCTCCCAGTCTGTGGAAATGGCCTGGGTTTGGGCCTCATGAGTCAGTGGCCTTTGACAGACTCCCATACTTAGGGAGGCCAAGTGAGGACTCTCTAGGCCTGGGCTGGGGCAGGACAGGAGCTTGTCAGGAGCCTTGGAAGATCCAGGGCAAGAGGATTCAGGGTCAGGCCACAGCAAAGGACTTGGCAGAGTAGGCCCTGCTCCGGGGCTAGTTTTGGGCTGACTGGGCCTCAGCAGGAGTGTGTCTCCTCAGCCTGGTGCCTGCTGTGGGAGCAGGATGGGGTGGGTCCTCATGGAGACTGTCTTTGCAGAGGGGCTGGGTGAGAATGCGCCACACTGCTTATGCGGGTGTGTTTAGCTGTCTGGTGTTTGATGTCACATGAGGGTCTTGGCCTTCTCTCCTGCAGCAAGCTGGCTACACAGATCTTTGCTATTTAGAAACAGCAAGTGCTCCGTGTAGGTACAGTGGTGGCTGATAGAGTGGGGTGCCACAGAGCACACGGCTTGGGATCTGAAGCCTGTGCCCTGGCTGGAGGATGATCTCTGAGTGCCCCCACTGTCACCAACTTGGCTGGGAGTCTGCCTCCGTGATCCTGGGGTGCACTGTACACCTGCAGGTGCAGTGCCACCTGCCGGTTCATTGCTTATGCCACCTGCAGACTAATGTTCCCAGTGTCCCCAGTGTCAGCCCCTCCCACTTGCTTAGGGGGTCCTGGAAGTACAGGTGCTTTGGGGACAGAGATGCTAAATCCCCAGTGATTGCAGGATGGATCCACCAGATTGCAGAACCAGGCTGGCTGGACAGGAAGTTTGTGTCCAGAGGCTGGGCTCCTGTGTTGAGTCCTGTGAGGCGGCAGAGCCAGTGACTACTTGGCTCAGGCCAAATTACTGTGCAGTTTTGTCCATTTTGCCTGAGTTCTTTCAAAACAGCTTTTGGAAATTTTCTGGTTGGAATACTTTT